TTTGATTACTTCTTAAAGATAAAACAAATCGAAGTTTTAAACCCTGCGAAAACGAGAGAGCACGCGGAATTATAAATCTGTACCCGCATTATTTAGTGTTACAAATGACAACATAAATGGCGACATGTCTTTCATATGCAGAATCTGCCAAGTAAACGTGTTTCGTTGACGAAACGGTTAATTGAAAGGCCTTCGACCTGTTTACCCAAACCAAAAACACCATTTACCAACATACGAACTCTGGAATTTCCATTTAATAGCAAAAGAAATAATAAAGGATCAGTAGTAATTATTATCTACAATGTTAACATATCTTGAAACATGGATTCAGTTAAATGTCAAATTACGTGCGATACCAGGAAGCCTGCATCGACACAAATTGATAAGGGAATAGAACCTACAGCCTGCATTAAATTGCCTTCATTAGAGACATTCATACCCGAGTTTTCGTCAATGTGATTCTTACCCTAATCAGATACAAGTTTCATGCAAGGATATCGCGAGGGATGTTTCGTAATTCCTAATGGAAGGCCAGATAACAGTTTTACATAATCTTATTTGCGTTTCAATAGGACAGCGAGATTAGTCATCATGAACCTATTTTTGTATCTTTGCGATATTGAGAATATGTAGATCAGCATCATTCTCGTCAAACCGTACATTAGCTTTGATTCAAAACTGTGGTGTGCTGTCAATCATTCTATTTTCGCTAGAGATATTTTATCAGTTCGTGGAGAATCGTATGCAAATTGAAAACCTTCCACGATTATCAAATTCATCGATCTTTGATATGATATCAGAATTGAGTACATTTCCTCCAAGAAATGAAATGTTTATTTTAGATAAATCTAAAGATATATTCATCTTTTTACCATTAAGATTATCAAAATAAACACTGTACAAATAAATAACATAACATGATACAGATGATTATAGACAGATGGGCCAAATAATGAATTCAATTGCATCATACAGCTATTTCATCTTTCTAGAACTCGTCAATGATTATAAATTTTGAAACTTGCAAAGCAAAGCGGTGCAAGAAAAACTATTAAAACGAATTAAAATTTGTTTAATTTTCATGATATATTTCCGCGTCAAATAATTTCGAATTCATAACGTTTTATCTGGATTCTGCAAAAATTCAACATTCTATATCAGCTAAGAGCATACATTGTATCTACCTGAAGACATTTCATGATATCTAACTATTCTCACATAATCTTATAGTCAGTCAACTGTCTCTTTCACTTACAAAAAGCCTTTAAAGAATACCTACCTGTGCAATAAATGTAAAGACCAATACCTGCGGGACGACATTTCCCTAGAAATCTTTTTTTTTTAATTTTTTTCTATCAGAAAATGTGTTTTTAGTCATTCCTCCGCCGGATATTCCCTAACGTGATAAAGGTTAGTTAGTTAGACTGCCAGATATCCCAGCAGATATTTCGAACAGAGAGTAACCTTTCGTGTTGATCAACCTTGTCATTCAATGTTATATATTCCAGCTACCTTAGTGTCCTTGAGCTGTAGTTTAAGAGAGTTCCACGGATGTTAGTTCAAGTTATTTCAGCTGTGACGTCAAACATAACTTAATCACGATTCCCAGATGGATAAAAGGATTGGATTATTTTAAATTCCAACAATCAATAGTTTTTTATCTATAACACTGCGTTGTTGTATTTAACGAAATCTTGAAGGATTGCAAAATGGTTATTTCTCTTGCCGCGGATATTAATGAGCTAAACAGACATGCTATTTTATTTTTGCATATATCGTTTTTAGCCAATTACATATCTTCATACCCTTCATAGCAATCATAATTTCATTTTAAAAAATGTTAAATCAAATTATATAAAATGTGAACATCAATTTTAGGATTTTTTTTTCTTTTTAAGTTTGTTGAAGACTGTCACATAGATCTTGATATATATAATATGACGTTCTGAGATCGCTTCTATCCTTAACGTAAATAACGTTATATTCGCAGTCTTGGAATGAAAAAATAATAAAATAAAAATTCAAACGCTTCACATAAAATAACGTTCTAGGTATTTTAATGAGCTATAAACACAAATAATTAATACAAAAAGACACGTGATATTGCCAGACGGGTGGATGATCAGTAGCGCAGTGGTAACACTTTTAACCCAGATGTTCAGAGTTCGAGTCCCCCAAACAGATATGAAAAGGAATGCAGGTCACCTGTCTGACCACTTGGATTTACCCTAGTGCTCCGATTTCCTCCCACAGTGAAACTTTCACGAGTTTTCTATCCGCACCAACAAGAGTGATTCTTAGAAGCAAAAGGTTGCTTGGCAATTGTTTTAAAATTAACGAAATAATATATATCTCTAGAGGAATCGGCAATAGAGTTTCTAGAAAGAGCATTTAGAATAAACATCTCTTAAAAAGAGGACATATATACTATACAAAAGACACACAAATAAATACCACATTTTAATGCAAAAAAGTAAAGGTAATATTGTTAAATAATGACGTAAATTGCATCCTACAGATGTGTCGTCAACTTAGCAAGTGATACATGAAGTGATCAGACGCTTAGAGAAATCAACATTGGTCGGGAAAATGTTTAAGTGTAGAAATGAGGTAAAAACTGGAACAGAATCTGATAAATGAACATCATAATAGATTAGAAATGTTCTAGATTTGTCATTTCGTTATTTATGAGGTCATTCAATCCATTTATCAAAAACCATGGAGCCTTTTTTTTAGATTGTTCAACATTAGATCTACACGTAATCCGTAATTTATGATTCTTGTAGAAAATAAAACGATATTCGTAACATCAGTTCAGTTTACCACACTCGAAAATGCAAGGACATGATCTCCTGTTTATATCAAAGTATCGGACTTCTAAAGAGATGTCTATTTGATTTGGACATAAATATTTCTCAGTGATATATCTTGTCTAAACATTCACTGGAAAAAAGTCAAAAGTTTCTGTTTCACTTCGAATTTGCTATGTTCAAACTTTAAGATTATAGGTGGTAGACAAGGTTTGCCTTAATCTGCATGCCGCGTATAAATTCATCTGAATACATCTGCATTCCGTGTTTCATTTGTCGGTTTGTTGTTAATGTATCAAATGGTAGTATATTAAGCTGTATACTACCATCTACAGTGATACGATCAGTATATGATATGAAAATGGCCGCCTATCGCTTTCGGTATAGCCGATGTTGTCAGAAGCCATCACAAATAATTAAAGTAAATTTACGAAGCTAGAAAAATATACCAGAGCAATTTCATGATCAAACAGGTAATTTGCCAGAAAATCCGTATAGGCACTATTACATAAGAGATTAGGTCAAACAAATGTCCTCAGACTAAGACTTCTATTTCCATTTAACCTTGGACACATGGAATCTGCAACAAACAAAACATCCTTGTCACTTAATAACAGGTGTGACCTCCATTGACCACTTCCATGGTTGAACTGCTTTGAAAATCAATATAAATCCACGACACAAAACATATTCCCGAACATATATATGTCGCTCCGTGCAATCTGATTTTTAATATTGGGTCGTTTTAATTTCAGTAAATTGTTCTTCACAGGGTAAAGTTATATAATGTACTTTAAAGCGATGAAATGTATTCCCTGTATGATAGATTCGAATATTTATCTAGTATACAGTAGTGACACCTGAATGCAGAAGAAACAAATTTAACTGTGCCGAGGACATAAGTGAGGCTATGATTGGACGACTCTTGAACACATGTAATGCTTTCGACTTTGCATAACAAACTGCTGAGACCCCAACTATAATTTGTAATTTGAACACATCAGTACCTAATGAAATATTTTATGTTTTCAGTCAAATCACCAGATTACCAACTGTGCCAACCAAGGAGATATAGTCTTTACCACCAATAAGACGGCTATGACGTATGGTCCAAGGTTCTGTTGTCAGGGTTACAAATTTAACGTCACAGCAAACACAATGGACTCCGCCTTACAAATCACGTGCATTCGGTCATAGACGAAGACTAAAACACGTCAAATTCTCGGACAAATTGCAGCAGGGTAAACAACTTCTTCGAAAGAGTGGCAATATTATCACCATAAATAAATGGCGAAACACATGTTGATATCTTTATAAAGAAACGTTTGTTATTTGAAAGCTCTAACGACAGACAGCAACGTCTGCTTATATGTGACGCTTAATTGTAATTTCATCGGCATGCTGACATCAGACAAGTTACGTATTTCTGTATGGAAGACTGAAGGGAGGTAACTCGTCTCTTGGTTGATCTTGGTGAGGCAACGTTTCAGAGGAAAGAGGGGTAACTCTAAATAACATCAGTGTACCTGTTCGGATGTGTTTGATAGATCCTTAACAGAATCTTAATACGTGACAAAAATCTAGTGATGAAGTGTTAACAATGATTTGGAGAGCAACTATTTCCTTTCTGCTAGATTGTGTGACCTCTATTCGGTAAAGTATTAGATTCACGACCTACATTTACTGCAGAGTTTACGGAAACATATTCATATTCCTACTTAATAAAATAATTTATTTAAAAAAAAAACACATACAGAATAAAAACGATAACATAACTGTACTAGATATGATTTGCACCCGAAACGAAATGAGATGGACATTTCTCATAAGTCTCCTTTTCACAGAAAACGTATTATTTTAAGCACCAATCGTCCATAGAACGTACGATTTAATCATTGTTACCATACACGTACTTCAGTTCATACTCTCGTGAAGTATCTCGAAACGCTTATAACGGGCAATGAACGCTGTAATAATATTTGTTTACGAGAGAACAAAACAATAAATGACAACTATGAATGAGATCGAACATGGCATTGTCGTTTGCTCGAGACAAATATGGAGAAGTCATGGCGTTCGACTATGTGCGTGTAAGCATATTTATATATAGATCGGCTTAAAAAGATACCTATATATAGGTAGGAATTATGTCATAAGCAACTGTTGTTTCTTGTGTCCTTCCAACATTACCTCGTGTCTAGCAAAGACTTCCAAACCGCCATGTTCATTGAAGCATAATTTCACTGTGCTGTCCGATTTCCAGGATTGACCAACTTTGTCCGATTTTTTCTGTAGGTCTAAATAGAACAAGAACAAATTAGGGTACGACATATTGGCATATGGATTGAGGTAAATATCGCAGAGGAAATGATGTCGATTGAGATAAATTGCTCTTGCTTTCACGATCTTGGCCTTCCTGACGCAACTTCACATGCTTGGGCTGGAGAGTGATGGAACGGACACATACCTTCAACAATTTGTCGACTGCTACCTGATTCTGTGACTCAAAGTCACAAATGGTGCGTTTCTATGTACATATCAGCACGGTCTACTGGTACCTTGGTATTGAATGAGAACTTAGAACACTTCTTTTTATATAAAATATGTCAATTTTGTGAGTTATTAGACAGAATGCAAGCCGATGTATCCTTGTATGTGATGTATACCTGTTTTATGTTAGATACGCGTTTAGGTATGAAATGCATTACGTAAGGAAATGTTTCCATTTCTTTTTTTTATAAACAACTATATGCTTTCTTGTGGAATGGATGACAAATGTCAAAAATGAACGAATCTAAGTTACCCTTATCGAATACATCTTGAACATTACTTGCTTTTAAACGTTAAGGTAATGAGTGACTGTTTTGACAATGTTTTAAGACGAGAATGCGGTTTATGATACTCAAACGTGGGTGCGAAACGAATATCTTTTTCACAGTGGAAAGATTTCGCAATGTGTAAGAAATAAATTTATTCTATTTGCGTATTTTTAATAAAATTTAAGTTTGTATTTATAATTTGTGTCACGTGCAATTATGAGCGAAATATCTTTGATTTCATTTGATCTCCATCTGTATATGGCGGAGTGACATAAAGAGCTGTTTGGAGAGAGATTTCGTAAAGTTTATGCATTCAAAGTAACTCCAATGCCTTTCTGCTTCGCTACAGAAATTCATCTTCACTTGGGTACCATCTGTCTATTGAAACAGACCCATCTCGTCATATGCGTTAAAAAGGTGTTCTATTTTGCAGAAATCTCGTGTCATAGTAAAAGATAAACGCGTTCCTCTTTGTCCTGCGGTAGACACGCAAAACTCCTCAGCGTGTATGTGTGTGTACGTATGTGTATGTTATGTGTAAGACTCTAAACCATGGTCGACTGTTTTAATTAACTTTGTTATATTTTATATTTGTATATTATAAATGAATGGTTGTGTATTTTCCACGTCAATAACATATATCTATGGCAATGTCAAGAAACAAGAACCCAGCCTGTTTCTACCAAATATCAGTGTGAATGACCAGCTTCCGTCAGTTCGTAACAAATCGTTCTAGAGAAAGCGAAATATTTGTGTAAAAATGATGTTAATATCGATGATTTTTTTAAAATTGAGATTTCCTTACCATAATATGTCACGTTCTTTTAAGAATTTGCTCATGTGTTCATGTTGGCTGAATGTCTCATAATGCGGCCCTTTATCACCCTGATTATACAATAAACGTTATATAAAATGGTGTGTCGCCCTGACCCTGTCTCTTGTTCCGGAGGCTATTGAATAATTTTCCATATTCGGTCCGATATTAAGCATTGTAGTTTTGTGCTGTGTTAATTTGGTTTCATACGTGTTTCTTTAAAGTATTATTTTCTTTAGTACTTTCCTAAAAGGGTTCGTTCTCCTTAATCACACGTTTTAAGGATATCTTATCATAACTGTAAAATAGTACACACTGTGTAAATTATAACACATTTTGATAGCCACTTTCCTGATTAGGGCAATTTGATATAAAACTGTTTATCAGTGTCCAGATACTATTTGATAAGAATACAACAGAATCCGTTATAGAAAACATGTAATTATTTTATAAAATATTAAATCATTAAATGTTACCGTTATAAGTATGTAATGCATACAATTACATTTTGAAGGCAAGAATTGTCTCATGAATATATTGAGAGAATAACACAAATAGTACAGGTGGGATAACAACACTGGTAAACAGGTGAGAGGGGAACTCGGGGGAAAAAGGTATGAGAACAACACAGGTAAACAAGTAGGGGAACAACACAGGTAAACAGGTGGGCGAACAACACAGGTAAACAGGTGGGCGAACAACACAGGTAAACAGGTGGGCGAACAACACAGGTAAACAAGTATGGGAACAACACAGGTAAACAGGTGGGCGAACAACACAGGTAAACAGGTGGGGGAACAACACAGGTAAACAGGTGGGGGAACAACACAGGTTAACAGGTGGGGGGAACAACACAGGTAAACAGGTGGGCGAACAACACAGGTAAACAATTAGGGGAACAACACAGGTAAACAGGTGGGGGAACAACACAGGTTAACAGGTGGGGGAACAACACAGGTAAACAGGTGGGCGAACAACACAGGTAAACAGGTGGGCGAACAACACAGGTAAACAGGTGGGCGAACAACACAGGTAAACAGGTGGGGGAACAACACAGGTTAACAGGTGGGATAACAACACTGGTAAACAGGTGAGAGGGGAACTCGGGGGAAAAAGGTATGAGAACAACACAGGTAAACAAGTAGGGGAACAACACAGGTAAACAGGTGGGCGAACAACACAGGTAAACAGGTGGGCGATCAACACAGGTAAACAGGTGGGCGAACAACACAGGTAAACAAGTATGGGAACAACACAGGTAAACAAGTATGGGAACAACACAGGTAAACAGGTGGGCGAACAACACAGGTAAACAGGTGGGGGAACAACACAGGTAAACAGGTGGGCGAACAACACAGGTAAACAGGTGGGCGAACAACACAGGTAAACAGGTGGGCGAACAACACAGGTAAACAAGTATGGGAACAACACAGGTAAACAGGTGGGCGAACAACACAGGTAAACAGGTGGGGGAACAACACAGGTAAACAGGTGGGGGAACAACACAGGTTAACAGGTGGGGGGAACAACACAGGTAAACAGGTGGGCGAACAACACAGGTAAACACGTGGGCGAACAACACAGGTAAACAGGTGGGCGAACAACACAGGTAAACAGGTGGGGGGACAACACAGGTAAACAGGTGGGCGAACAACACAGGTAAACAGGTGGGCGAACAACACAGGTAAACAGGTGGGGGAACAACACAGGTAAACAGGTGGGGGAACAACACAGGTTAACAGGTGGGGGGAACAACACAGGTAAACAGGTGGGCGAACAACACAGGTAAACACGTGGGCGAACAACACAGGTAAACAGGTGGGCGAACAACACAGGTTAACAGGTGGGGGGACAACACAGGTAAACAGGTGGGCGAACAACACAGGTAAACAAGTATGGGAACAACACAGGTAAACAGGTGGGCGAACAACACAGGTAAACAGGTGGGGGAACAACACAGGTAAACAGGTGGGCGAACAACACAGGTAAACAGGTGAGAGGGGAACTCGGGGGAAAAAGGTATGAGAACAACACAGGTAAACAAGTAGGGGAACAACACAGGTAAACAGGTGGGCGAACAACACAGGTAAACAGGTGGGCGATCAACACAGGTAAACAGGTGGGCGAACAACACAGGTAAACAAGTATGGGAACAACACAGGTAAACAGGTGGGCGAACAACACAGGTAAACAGGTGGGGGAACAACACAGGTAAACAGGTGGGCGAACAACACAGGTAAACAGGTGGGCGAACAACACAGGTAAACAGGTGGGCGAACAACACAGGTAAACAAGTATGGGAACAACACAGGTAAACAGGTGGGCGAACAACACAGGTAAACAGGTGGGGGAACAACACAGGTAAACAGGTGGGGGAACAACACAGGTTAACAGGTGGGGGGAACAACACAGGTAAACAGGTGGGCGAACAACACAGGTAAACACGTGGGCGAACAACACAGGTAAACAGGTGGGCGAACAACACAGGTAAACAGGTGGGGGAACAACACAGGTTAACAGGTGGGGGGACAACACAGGTAAACAGGTGGGCGAACAACACAGGTAAACAGGTGGGCGAACAACACAGGTAAACAGGTGAGAGGGGAACACGGGGGGGGGGAAGGTATGAGAACAACTCAGGTAAACAATTAGGGGAACAACACAAATAAACAGGTTGGATAAAAACACATGTAAAACAGTAAGGAGAACAACACAGGTAAGCAGGTGAGAGAACAACACATGTGAAACAGGCGGGAGAACAACACAATGTGTCCTGTAGCTACCTTTCAAACTGAACATCAGGATAGAAGGCATCGGTAACATGTTAGATGAAATCCCATCAAACGGCTTTTGTTATCAGTATTTTTTCATGCGAATTCATGTCACCATTTCCAAAATGTTGATGAGTCTCATTACTAAGAGATAGAATGAGTCCTCAAAACTTGAATGAGTCTCACAGGAAAGACATATGAGACCAGGGCTCTGAGTCTTAAAATCACTGATTATCTAATTCATATCTAGCACATTTTCATCACAGTATGATAATTCCTTACGGATAGACCTGCCCAACAAATTTCATATCACCGATAACTTGTTTATTTTCATGAAAATCTAATAATAACATTGGCGTTTTTGTTCCATTTATCTTGGTTACGGTTATTACGTCATTCCACCGGAAGTTCCATTGTTACCTTATATGGCAACATTAGCGTCATCCTTTCACGTTATCATGTAATAGATTTTTATCAGCAAGCCGTCTCAAATTGAAAATGTCTTGACTATATGTATGATAAATTAGGACTGTAAACAAGAAAACAAATAAATATTTTTGTGAATTCTTTCATTGTGTTCTGTGTTGCTTGACATAATGTTTATATAATCAAGGATTTACGTTGACAAAGTTGATCTGCATTATCCGAAAGCTTGACATTCAAAAATTGTTCAACTGAGTGTAATTATCAAAGGTTATCAAGTTGCGAGTGAAATGTAATGTTCTTGTTATTTTCTACCAGTGAGTAAAAAACAGAGCGATTACGGGAGTAATGTTGTGAAATTTCACTTTGAACCACACAGGTTCACGATAACTGTACAATCGTCAATATATTATTCCATGTGCCGAGAATGAATGTTACAAAAGAAGAATAAATTGAAACACAAAATAGATTGAGGCCACATTCAAAGAATCAATATTGTGACAAAATTTAGATTTTTATCTTGGATTTACTTTGAATATGCGCGACTGTTCCTAATCCTATAAACATAATACATAACTGATCATTTAGCCCTAGACTAATTGCTTCATTGCCAAGCATGTTTTTTACAATTAAACAGTTTAATTCAAAACACCGTATACAGTGGGCAAAGCGAACGTAGGACTTAATCCAAAGGGGATATCGTCCTTGTTTTTTTTTTCATTTATTCTGACCGTGGGTCGTATAAAATTTTAGAAGAGGCTTGAAACATTTTATCTAACTTTAAATCTTAGAGTTCTTTCGTCTTTTAAATAACCATTATTTCTCTCTGTCGAGCTAAGTCATTTGTAACTACCATCAACATCATATCAAAACAAGTCAACGCTTGTCAATCAGTGTAAGGGACCTAACTCTTACAAAAACATCATATTACGTAATCTTGTATCCGTCAATGATGAACTGATGTATCTTAACATAACACAACTTCTTCATATTCACACTACTAAATATTGCACATGAAGATACATCGTCATAGAAAAGGGTATTTTTTAAACTGTACTGTATTTCTTTGTTATTATTGCCAAATACACTGATTTATTTCAGATAAATAATATCGAGCGATCGGTCACTGTTGTTCAAAGACGTTAGAGATAACTAGCGGTAAGTGAAAAAATGTTCAAATATGAACTGAGCAAACTTGAGAACATTCTGAATCATTTCACAGCTGTATATTTGTTACGACAGGTCATATTGATATATTTTGAACATTAATTTTTGCCTAGAATACTCTGTGGTAACAACTTATTTTTTTTCACTAACCGACCGATGGTTAATGCTAACTAACCTTTGAACAACCAGGGCCAGATCTTCCAATCGGAAAAACTGGCGTGCGACACATATTACCCTATATACATAATATCCCCAAGTTGTATGCATAATTAACTACTGATATACAAAAATATATTAATATCCAATCAACCATGAAACAATGAAATAACATAAACAAATTATGACGTGTTAATTAAACCCTAAACGTTTATCTTTTTGCTAATTTAGTCCATTTCTAAGATTAGCATTATATTGAACCTAAATTATAAGGATGATATATGTTTATCTATGCCCGCTAATGTATCACCATCTAAATTAAGACCACGTCGCTTTACTTAAATGACTTCTTTCATTAGCAGTTACGTCCCTTGTTTTCTAACAGTAAGGTACATTCTACCTTTTTTAAAAAAATCACATTTTTTCCCAATTCAAAGGACATAATATATTAACTGATCGTAAAAGATATCAAAATGGTTTCCATATATAGCAATCACGTGAACCTTGTTAGAGAACTGACCACGAATCAAGTTACAGTAACTTTGTTTGTTTTCACGTGCAGAGGGTTAAGTACACACCAGAAGATTAGAGATAAATGTAAGTGGTTGCTGCTGTTCCTGCAGTAGATATGAGGAATAATTCCCTCAGATTGCCCCTGGGGTTGGCCAAATGTTCGTCTCGCCGGGATAGAAAGTCCGTTTCATCATTTTCATTGCTTGAACCTACTCGACTGCAACGGGCGGTATGTCAGTTACTTTCTCGGGGTCAAAGTTCATCATTTTTCAAAGGTCGTGCTTGGCGGTCTATATTCATTAGAAGGAGGGTGCTAGTCAACTCTCATTGAACAAGTAAGTGTATTGTTTATTATATATGTTTATAGATGTTTCAAGCATATTCCTCTAGTTAATTGAGCCGTTATATCGACTTAACCTGCCCAACCTTACACACATTCTGGTCAAGACTTCTATTTGGTACGTACGGTGTCTGGAATAGTTGGGGAAGTTTCGTCAGCTTGTTACGGTGTATTGTTTAAACAACAAAACATCTCTAAATGCACACGTATATTTACTTATTCGAATTGATCTCTAGAAAAAAATAATTATAAAGCTTTTTTTAACATTGAATTTGAAGATATATATATATATTTTAAAAGTTACTAACATCTCTTTAAGACGCATGAGTCTCGATCGGGAACAAGGCTTAGAAATACGCCATTATTGCCTCCCCTTGGAATTACTTCAGAACCAATTTCCGCTAGATTCCTGATTTCGCTTGTACGAGAAGAGAGATACCAACAGACAAGCCATCAATCATCCGTCCTGTTTCTCGTACTGGTGGTTTTAAGACCTGACCGACAGAATAATTTCAATTCACATTAATTTTGGGTGAACTTGGGTGCCATTATGCTTATCTAAAAATTTTGGGGTTTTCCGCACTGGGAAATCTCTGTTTCACTACTTTATCACAGAATCTGCTAGTTATCCAGTGAATTTCTCACTAGTGTGGTATACTCTGGAGCGTTTTTCATAGGCTGTAATTATCACTTATCAATTATGTTTATCATAGAATGGACAATTGTATCCCGTACAGGAATTGAAAATAGAGAAAGAAATTTTGGATGTCTTTGTCCTCCTCAAGGTGGCATTAAAATCTGTCCAACTGTAACCTGTCTGAGTTATGTAACAAAAAAAAAACATTTTAAATCTGTTTTCATTTCACATAAAATTTTATGACACTTGTCACGAAGTTTTGATATTTACTCACAAAAAGAATGAAAGAAGTTTCTAGGACTCATTTCATAAAAACTACAAGAAAATGAAAGTCATCTTATATCATGTATACTTTTCTATCAGGACATGTTATATCTGAAATCGTGAATTTCAAATAATGATATGTACTATCGATGAATTCTGAGATCTTTATCTCCTATTTTCCCGAATTTTGTTTTTAAACAACACGTACAATTAAAAGATATCCCGATGCCACTTTTCATCGCATATCGGATCTTCACACCTTCCTCTCAAATACCGCCTGGGTTGATGATAACTTTCAATTGTTCCCCAAATGGTATGTTTAGAATCTTCTCTGCTCTATTATCATATACCTTAACGTACATGATTATACTATCAACATTTGTGATTAAATCCTGTTCTGTCGTATATTTACACCTGTACATCCGTATCACCATACACACACACACTTGTGAGCCAGAAATCGACAATGGTGTTGAAGTTCGATGTCACAAAATTGTTTTTTCTCATCTAGAATCCTTATTCACCTTGATTTTATAATCTACGAGGCGGAGGTCAGGCTTTAAAAAGACCTTGGCTGTTGACAGAGCGATAAACTGTATAATAGGTGATCGATCGTGTATGATATGGTTCTATAACACTGTAACTGTTTAACATGTGATGTTCAAACAGAAAACTGAAAATCTTTTCTATCAAACCAAATGCTTAACCATTGAACACCAGTCATATTGTATTTATTGTCAATATTAGTGCGATCTGGGTGACAGATACATAGATTGACAATATAACGTTAGATTGTATTCATATCGACAATAAATGAAATTTGACAGACGTTCAGTGGTGACATTCACATTTCTGATGTTATTTTTTATAAAATCTAACGATAAATTGTTTTATATTTACATCGTGAAAAAGCGTTTTGAAAACCATAATCACTTAAATGTTTAACGTATATGCATGATACGTGTTAAATGAGGCGACGTGCAAAGCGTTGACGTAACGTCAGTCAAAATGGCGCCAAAATGGCGTTATGTCCAGATAGCATCAATACTTAAGCTAACACAATCCAGATTGACACTAGATTAATGGGTGTCAAGTATGCTAAATGTAAATATATGTATGTGATAGAGATGTTCATATGGCCATATGCCCTACCCCAATATTTGCCCAATGCCTGTGGTATTTGTATCTTACACATCCACAGTGGAAATTTAGAACGGTATTTTGATAGCTTTGTGTATACGTCTCTCTGATCATGATAGTCTTGACTTTAGATGCCTGGTATATTCAAATTCATAAATTTTCAAAGAATCACACTTTCCTTTAATGTTTCTGTATTTATATAAAAGAAGTGATATTCAGTATATCTGTTCGAAATTGCGTTGTTCTGAACTATTAATTACAGTTATAGATTCAAAGAGACTGTAGAGACTTAAGTTTCAATATCAAATGGACTTGCTTTCAGGAGATTTTCAAGACTTCAGCTCAAGATCACTTATTTGAAATAACTTGTTTCAATATTATACAATATACACGTAGCTGGACAATTTGACTGTACTGCATTGCTTTATCTCTCGAATGCACGCTTGAGTTATTTTGGCGACACCAGAAAGCATCTCTATAAATTTCTGTTCCACAGTTTTATCTTGGAACTTGAAATCGTTTCTGTGACATAATTTTGCGCAAATTTTTACAGATTTTGGTGGGAGGAGGGGGGATGCATTCGAAATTTGAAAGGCCTGTTATTTGAGATCTTTTATAATCATACATTTTTGCTCTGCATATAAACCGTTAAATTATCTCATAATTCAAGTCACGATTCTATCTATATTATAATCATGTTTCTCCTTTCGGTACTTTAAGATATGCAGTTTAATGCATTGTCTGGCGCTGCTGTATCTGTGTGTTGATAGACGCTATTCCCTTGCATGTCTTTTGTACAATTTATCATACACCCAACTGTTCAAATCAGTGAACGTCACGTTTACAGGCAAACATCCTTGGCGTATAGAACATACATACACCTTTTAACGCTGACAAGCATACAATTAACATTGATTCTAAATTTGCATACGTTTATACTCCATTACCTTATATATGTGTGATACTTCACCTTGAGCAATAGTATTACGTGATCTCCATTGCCGCCCATGTTAAGATATTTCAGTAAATTGTTACTTATAATGTGTCTTGTTTGTACGTGGATATAGCATAAGATGTTGTGATGACTTAAAATTCAAAAGAAACTAAATTCGGATTAAAAAAAAAAACAAAAACAAAAAAAAAACCAAAAAAATGAGAAACGTAAGTGCAATGTAGCGATAAATATCACAACACGCCTCGCTCTGTTAAGTCACAATTTGTCAAGGTGAGGTTCGTCAGTTCGGTTCAGCATGTACAATCTGGAAAAGGGAAAAGCGAGCGACAGGTAAGTGATTTGATTTATTGTCATTCTTGTTCCTTTCCGTTCAGAAATTTATTCTTTTAACTGTACAAGATAACAAATGTCCTTTTTGAAAAAAAATAGATCCAGGTATGTTTATGTACACGCTGTGGGTAAATAACTCTATGTATGTAAATTCTTTACATTGTAACGGACATGCGTATAGATATGCGCTATATCTTATGAAGATGATACACCTTATTATATCGTATAAGGTTCACAGCATGAAAACAGTCATCGAGCGAAATTTGAAGCATAAAATGTAGAGAATATTTTTGCAGTTGCAATGATAATGAGAAATCATCGAATATTCAAAGAAAGAAAACACTCTTGTCTACTGATTTAGATAGTAAGGCTGATATCGTTAGTCGCTTCATAATGATTTTGTTACAGCGTTATGTGTGTACTTTCGGATAGCATGTGGTCTTCAAGTGTTCATTTTAGGGTGGAAAACTGGTTCTAATAAAAAAAAAAATAGCTATCTTGTTCCTGATGTACCTATTCACATACCAAATACGTTTAACTGTGCACCAATGTTACCTGTTTGTCAGCATTTAATGACCTTAAGGACATTGACGTCGAGAATCGTCTCAAGTTTCTCATTGTTACCTTATACTCATACAAAGACAGAAAAAAATACAACTCGTTCAGGTTACGTGTTTTTTATACAATGAGAAATTTGAATGATGGAAACCCATAAGCAACACTCGTGGCAGTCGTCTCCTGGTTGATTTACCCATTGTTTCTGCGCTACGAAAAATTGTAAATTTAAAAGACATGCTTTATCAACTTTATGATTTGTATTCAATAAAATGAATTTATTTCTGCTAAAATCTATTTTTTTTAATGAAACATGACAGAAATTAAAATGTCTTTTAATTAAGACAAGAGACAAGTACAAATCGACGTTTTTATCGTATACCGGTATTGACTAACTCAGCTACGTAGCAATGGGCAGTACAAAATGTCTGGTATAGGATCGTTAATGTTGAGAGGGAACGGGCGATTCTCAACAAGTAGACTTCCATCATGAAATTTCATATCCAAATATCTAAATTGCTTAATAGATTTTATTTACTGTCTATCGATAATAAACCCTAAAGTCACGAAAAAAATAGATGAAAACGACCATTGTTTTGTGTGCCGTGATATGATGTAATAATTTTATTTTTAATGTTTTTTTCATATTCGTATGCAAATTATAGTTTACATAACAGCTTTCTGATCGCCTATGTACTAAAGACGTGTTGACGTGTTATAGAAACAGTACAGCGTCACTACTTCTCTACCACTCTTTTAGTTGTGCGAGATAACACATCCCGCTTGTGTCAACTTATATAACACTCAGTATCTATCGTTGGACAAAGATGTAAAAACAAAAACCTGCTAGAGCTGCCGAACGAATGGGTCTGGTTGCAGCTCCTTTGTTCTTTTCGTTTACCAGAGGAGAATAAATGGACCGAATGTTGAATAATAGACACCATTCACTACGTGACATTTGGTAACTCGCTCTATTTGCATACATTACATAATTGTCAGTATGCGTACTATAGACTCATCTAATACCATTATCTGTACACTTTCGGGGTACATGCTATTTTCTCTGTAAGAAACTGCTGCTAGTGTTATACGGAAGCCTTTTTGTGCTAAATGAAATCTTAAGGAAAAAAGAAAAGTTACGATATGTGCAATACATTTGATAGTATACGCAATGCTTTTGCGAATGTACGCAATATCCTTGCATACATTCGCAAACGTATTGCGTATGTTTGCAATAATTTATTTCTCCTTAGGATTTTCAAACAAGTATTGTACAGATGTTGATGGCCTCGTTATAAAGTGTCACGGGCGAAGATTCTATTTGTCTCTTTTTGTGGCATACACTAAATTATGGTCTTGCGTCATTTACTGTTAGGTGTTCGTGCCGTGGTCGGATAATTTCGGTCCTTCACTGCCACGGGCAGGGTTCCGATGATTTGTTTAATAGACGATTTAACTTAATGTCAACAGTAGACCAGAGTTTGGTTCTACTGCTTGCTGTTTCGTTTCACAGTAGGAAGCTGAGAACGGAACCGTCATCTGCTATCACCCTGTGTTCCTAGGCTAGACACGTCAACCCTATTACATTGGATGGCATGCGTCGGCCTCCAGTACGTCGTTCAGATAAATAACCACCAGCTTCTACGATTCGGTCCCGATTCAAATTGGTTTTGGTTGTTGACGGGAAAATCACTCCAGCAAAACAAATAAACGTGTATCCTTGATTGATTTACTTATATTTACAAATTGACTTCGCTCCGTCTCGATTAAACTTTTCTCGGTGAATGAAAGTGGACGCTTGGTTTCTTCTGGGCGAAAAGATACAGTGGTGCGTTATTTTGTAACATTGCAGTTCCTGTCTACTGCACAACAGTTTTATAAGCCACTAAAAATACCAGTAAAATACAAACAGTTTAAAGACGCTAGATCTAGCAACACACTAACATTCCCAACATTCATCGGATACTCGATAATTTTCTCATGGCTTACGGTACCAAATTTCTTTGCGCTATCGGCTGGATTTTTTACTGTGGTTTCATATAACAGTCGTGAGTGGTCAGATAAATGTGTCACCTCTTTAAATGCCAATTGTTAAGTTATTAGCGAGTTAACACCGAGTGCTGACCCTGGTCCAGGCTGCACGGTCCTTCCTTTAAGCTTGTACTGTGATCTTGAAACCCTGGTCGTGACTGCTTTTGCCGGATCAACACCTCTTCTCACTTAATCAACACCTTCAAAACCACTAAAGCCTTAAACATAAACATCATCTTATTTAAGTCTATAGGCTACGTAAAATTCTGCCCTACATTTTTGCATATCGGTAACAGTTCATAAACTGACAGTTCTATGAATATGCCAGCGTGCTGTCATTGTCAGGAACCCACTGCCTTGATGCTCACGAAATAGGCGTGAGCATCAGGATCGTGGGTTGCCGACGATTGGATGCGATATTTAATATATATTATATTTGGTGATGTTGAGGTGCATGTTTTAATGTGAATGTTGATGAGGTTAACAATGTATATGTAGATGATGATGATGATGATGATGATGATGATGATGATGATGATGATGATGATGATGATGATGATGATGATGATGATGATGATGATGCTTTATTCAGTCATTGTGATGATGATGATGATGATGATGATGATGATGATGATGATGATGATGATGATGATGATGATGATGATTGTACTGATTTAGGATAATGATGTACATTGAAGATGAATTTCATGATGATAATGATAAAGAGGGTTGTGTTGTTTTTTAGGATAACTATGTACATTATCGGATGTGAATGTGGATGATGATGATGATGATGATGATGATGATGATGATGATGATGATGATGATGATGATGATGATGATGGACTGGTGGATGATGGATGAATGGATGAATGGATGTTAGTGTATATATATATTAGAAGCTGGTTTTCAACACCGCGAAAACAAACTAGACTTTAAATATATCAATGTAAGGGAGCACGGATATTAAATTTTCATAAGAACAAAATGCGGAAAATTAGATCATGCCATTGTTTATCCATGTTTTATTCTGAAGATATATATATGTGTGTGTATAAAGGACAATAGAAGTTGTCTACGTGACCTGAATATAGATTTGGTTAATATGATCGTGCTTAAATTACAGCAGAGAAATCCGTATCAGCTCGGCTTTTCTCGGACACCAACATGTAGATCTAATTTAGTAAAATTTGATGTCGAGCCTACCCGTATGAATGTGAACGTCAGGTGTTTGGGCCAGAGAAAACTAAGCAAGGATACGCCTTCCTTTACACTATGCTGTCTGTGTCACTATATTTAAGCCTGTTCTATTGAAACCAGTGTTTTGTTCATTCTTCGCCAAGTACGATTATGTTTCAATGTTCAATTTACGGCTCAGTCCAGGACATGTTTAAAAGTTCAGAAGTAGATTGTTGATTTGTAAGGTGTATTTTACATCTATTGCACTGTGTGTCTCGCTAAACATTTTTTTTTAATCATTTTATGAATACGTTCTGTTTTATCCTTGAAACTTGAACTGAGATAATGATCATCATCCTTTATTCCACAAACATGAGCGTATACAACAGAAAATGAAAAGAATAGAAAACGAAGTTACGTAATGTACAAGTTGTGGTTAAAGCATATTTCGTTATCGCTCACTATATCATTGTCCTTTGGGGGAGGGTGTAATCACCCTTACATTAAAACTGGTACGTCACATTATATCAGGTCCGCAGCATTGAAATAGATCTGTGCCGATTTCTAAACGAAATAAGCACTGTTCTGTGCAAATTCAAAGCACACCGTTTTGTCATCAAAATCATGACTGTCTTTGGTTACTTTGAATAGAGTAACAACAACGTTTTCTTCCGCCATTTGAGACGATAGCAAGTACGCTTGAATACCATAGTAGTTTATCATTTTGTCCATGAAGGTGTCTCTTAAAATGAATGTCACTTTGCAGTCCGTGGCGACATGCCCAATGACGTCATGGAAGGATTTAGCGCACATGTTACATATTTTACTTTGTTCTGTTGGTGGGCAAGTTATCATTTTACAAATATATAAAATCACTTTCTTGTTCTTATTTTCTAACTTTAATAATTCATACGGCTTGCTATATGTCGAATGTGCATGTTTAAAACGACTAAAATCGCCATCGCAGTTCATTCTGGCTTTCAGTACCGTGTTTTCGCGTATATATATGGCTGCTTTTACGATGTGTTTCCACTCCTGTAAAGATTCCATCCTCTGCATATTGGTTTATATATGATGTTAACTTGTACTTTTGATGAATGTCAATTATATCCAGCATGAATCCACCTTGTTTCTTAGATCTTTCGTCATGTTCTAAAAATTTTACGAGTCTATGAATGAAGATGTCCTTTGTGATACTATTTGGTGGACTACTAATTAGACAGTGTAAAAAGTTTAATTTCCTCTTTTTAATTTCACTATTAATTCTATTAATGCCTAGAATAGTCTAACACATATCCAACCTCGAAGATTTTCTGACATTAAGAATCATTTTGGCAGTGCTGGAACACGTCTAATTATTCTTTATCTTTGGCTGTTAAGTTATTGCAATCATTTTATGAAAATGTTCTGTTTTATCCAGGAAACTGAGATAACGAATTAGAGAAGAAAGTCCGTGATTATTGAGACAGGTTTCCGATATTAGTTTGAAGAGTTTACTTCATTACTGATTTTTCTGAATGCAGCTGTTGTTGTTTTATCAGTACATCGTAAAGCAGACTGTTTTTCGTTGAAAAGTGACGAGCTTTCTGTCTTCGTGCAGATAACGATAATTATCATATTTTAGTGATTGGTGATTATAAAAGTCACTTTTACCGTGTATAGTTTCACACATTAGAAAGTGGCGAGTAGTGGTGCCTCGGGCAACATAAGTTTACCTGTATACGGGTATATGCGTGACCGATCCGAATCCGTACCGATTGGGGAACCCTTGTAACAAACACAAGTATATTTGTTTTTTGTTTACATAATGAATGAAAAATATGAGATTTTGAATTACTCATTGCTGTGTGCTCGTTGTAAACGAAGCACTTAAAATTACGAGTGTAGCTAACTATTCAGCGTGTATCTGATATATCTACAAGTGTCCAACCTATATTAATGGCTTAATTAGGAAATGTACTTAGTTGAATTCTTATATATTTAGAAAACACAACAACCCTATCCCACAGTTATTTATAAGACATTTCTAAATTTATATCAACCACGACGGAATCGCACATTCCGTGCTCAGAAAACATTTCGTTTTGTCGCAGCAGATAACGACAAATTATTAGGGTCGGAATATAAAATATCTTATGTTTGTCTATTTTCCCGCAGTATGTCTTCCGGCCGAGCTTTGCTTGTAGCGACAGTAGTCCTCCTAGTAGCCATGGTCGGCTTAGGGATAGGACTGGGCGTCGGGGTTTATAACATGATCCAGGATGTTAAGAACGAGTGTACAACCAATCCAGCCCCGGTGGTGGCCACGCCCCCGCCGACGCGAATGCCAACGCAACCCCCAATTACTACAACAGCAGATACGCCAACCTTGTCCATCGACGGCACGTACAGATATGGCTCGGTCGCGGCCGACGCCGGACAATGCTCTACTATAGGAACGTAAGTAAATTGTTCAATAGTTCAAATTTTCATCATAACCATGAATATTTGATGAAATAATAAAACTTTGCATTACCTATTAGTATATTTGGCGTAACTTGATAAAGACATCCTGAGGTTTGAAACATTGCTGTGGCAATGCAATTTAAAAGGTGGAGCAGAAAGAGAAGGCGTTAAAAGTTTGTACATTCGTGGCTCCCCCATCCATTTCTGACACTTCCGTTTCGTTCACTTATATAATCACTTGTTATAGACTGAACATGTTTTTATGGGTACGTAATCAATTGACTATAAACTATTTATTCATTGGTCGTGCAGATATGCATAATACACGTTAAAATTAGTCACAATTAGAAAAACAATGATCAAATTAAAGTGTCATGATTTCATCAGGGATATTATGGCACGTGGCGGGACTGCGGTAGACACAGCGATAGCCGCCATGTTGTGCGCATGCGTACACAACCTACATAACTGCGGAATAGGAGGCGGACACTTCATGACAGTTTACGACAGGTAAGTCAGTAGGCCATTCTTGTACAAACCAAAATATGAAATTGTTCTGTTGACTTCTGTATGATAATCTGATTGCAGTAGAAAATTTATACTAACGCGTCTGATTCTAAACATGTCTTGAAAGTTGATTGTCTTTGGTACAATCTATGAAAATATGGTAGACACCCCTCACGGACATTTGCCATAAACTGCATGCTACATTTTCAAGCACAAGTACTTTTCGTCCTCCTGAAATTATCAGATATGACATTTGTATAGTTGTATGACTTATTTTCCCTACCATCTGTATTCCGATATTTCTTTCGATCATTTTGCATTTTTTTAAATCACCCCTAAATTACAGAATTTTGGTTTTAAGCATACTGACGAGTCCTTGAAAATTTGTCTCTACTGTGTCTGCATTTGTATTACAATTTGCCATCAGTCGTGTGTCGTTTGAACAGTATCAAAAAGACTGAATTCAAACTCATCATTATTGTTGGTATACTCACTTACATCTCGCCTCAATCTCTCGTTAAGAGAGTACCATTTTGCATCCCGGGAGAAATTAATCTCAGTTTACTAGCAAGGATGCATGTCAATAGGGCCCTGTCCATACGATATTAGGTTACGTGTCGTCAAACTGTGTATTTTTATCATAGACCCCGCGAGTATCACTCGTGTTTTATGGTTAATCAAACGGCAATTTTCAAATTTGATTGCTTCGATGGAAAATAAATACTCGGAACAAAAAAAAACCACCTCCTACCTTTATCTCAAGTCCATCTTGTGTCAAAGTTATATATTGTGACAAAGTTGTACCAAAGAAGTAAATAACATTGGTATTTGGAAATAACTTAAACTTATGTTCCCTTTCTAGTAAGGAAGATATCGTGATATGTATTTCGGGTAAAGAACAATCGCATACTTAATCAAATTCATTGAATTAAATCCTTTGTCGTTATACCGGTAATGTTTCTATTTTGTTGTGATTAATTTTAAAGGAGTGAACGAAAATCATATGCAATAATGGCTCGTGAGATGGCCCCCGGAGCAGCCAACTCCTCCATGTTTGTTGGAATATCATCACAGGAAGGTAACTTAGTATTGCAAAACAAGGGCTCATATGATCCCCTCCCCCCCCCCTCCCCCCCTCCACATCCCCACCTCTGGAGCAACCAATTCTAACATGAATATCACAGGAAGATATGTATGTCAGAATATGCAATAAAGCGTTATCATAGTCACGCTGTCGTTTGTAGGTCATTCATTTGTTGAAACAGTGACGTACATCGCAAAAAAACCTTATTTGACGTCATTGAAGGCATCACGATTTTTTTATAAATGCAATCAAGAAGCATTTGTGTATTTCTAATTTAAGACCACAATGACTTATCAGTTCTCGCTTAAGTATCGGTAATTCTCACCTGAAATCGCTCATTATTTGCTCATTTTAATGAGTAATTGTTATTTTACTCAATATGAAAGGTGGACTTAGTGTAGCTATACCCGGAGAAATCAAAGGATACTGGGAAGCGTGGAATTTGGCTGGGTACCTACCCTGGGCGGAGCTGTTTCAGCCCACTATCGACCTTTGTAGGAACGGTTTTGTCATTGGAACCAGTCTGGCCTACCATATCACAGCGCAAGAAAAATACTACGCCAGACATCCAAATCTCAAGTGTGTACCACTCATAGGGGTTTAAGCATGTACTTTTCAAAGGACATTTTAGCTGTTGTGGAAATGTCCCTCATTTTTATAACAAATGCATTATGATAAATACTGTTGCTCGATTTGATATGTTTGACATGATAAAATGGTAGCTAGAATTGTTTTTCTATCAGGGCCAACATCATCTCGTCATATAACCATATTCATCGATTTTTCACTAATAAACTTGTCAACAGAGCGATGGTGTCAAATCCCCAGACAGGAGAGCTCCTCAAGGAGGGGGAGATAATGTACCTTCCAAAACTTGGTGATACTCTCGAAACTATCGCAAGGGAGGGACCGGATGCCTTCTACAACGGAAGTCTCACGGCCGACATTGTGATGGACATTCAAGAAGCAGGTGATGTAATTTTATCAAACTGAAGAACAAGACGGTCAAAACTGGTAATATGTATAACCATCCTCAGGTTATGATATATCTTTAAATTGACATTGCCTATTTTTTCAGAACTTTTGTTAAAACTTTCGGAATACCCTTTGTACTGAATCATTCATTTGGCTCACTCTGCTTCGTGGCTAAAGCATGGTTTTTCATCCTAATAAATTTCATTTATAAGAAATCACATCCTACAAGCACCAAAACTATGTATACTTGATTCGACTCATTAATCTGAACACTTATTTGATCTTCAAAGACCCTGTTGGATGAAATTGATATTACAATTTTTTTAAACTAGATATGGTAATGTTTTCGTTGTGCCACTGATAGTTTTAACATCAAGCAAGGGAATTGACGCAATCTAACTAGCGGATAACGACAATCCGCAAAGAAACAAGATTGCAGCAAAGGTATTTGTGGCGTTTATATATGCATGTATATCAAACAGCGGACATAATTGTTTACAAACATTAATACCATTTACATACGTATTTCAAAATCTGTAGGCGGTATAATAACGGAAGAGGACCTTCAAAGGTACACCGCTGCTGTCAAGGAACCCCTCGAAATCAGCATTCACGACAGATATACAGTTCACTCTCCACCACCTCCCTCTAGTGGCGCCGTCTATGCCTTTATTCTTGGAATCCTGGATGGTAAGGGACGTAATCCAAATAATTGATTTTCATACATTAATAAGTGAACTTAACTATTGTGTTATCAAATCAACTTTGCTAAAGTTTGGTATCATAGCAGACTGTAATAAAAGGAAAACTCTAAATTTGCACAAAAGACAGGCAAGGTAATAACATCTTTCGAAATAAGATACAGAAGAATCAAACGATGAAACAAAATGCATCATACAGCTGTTTAGTCCTTCTGGAGTTCTTCATTAATGTTAAGTTGTGGAAGACGTGGAGGCGACTAAAAATATAAATTATCGAAATACATGTCAAAACCGGATGCGGAAGTAAATTTACCCCAAAATGCAAAAATTTCATAATTTCCCATATTGAATGATTTCCAAATATATAAGGTTTTTATTTCTTATCTATACAATAATTTGAGAATTTCAGTCATATGTGTCTCTGTAACATGTATAGTTTTGCTTAACAATGACAATAATGCACGGAATAACTGCTTCAGATGAAACTATTCATTGTTCTGCGAGAAGATCTATCTAAAGCTTTACAGAATACATAGATTGCTCTTCTTCCCCGTCAAGGTTACAACTTTAATGACGATAGTCTTTCCAATCGAGAGAAGAAAGTGCTCACCTGGCACAGAATTGTGGAGGCGTTTAAATTCGCGTATGGCAAGAGGACGCACATCGGTGACTCCGATGTCGAGAATGACACCTTCAAAATGGAGCTGGATGCGGTATGTGATTCTGACTTAGTACCTGTATTGCTTGTCTAATCAAGAAATGCTCCTTTACGGAAATCCTTGTCTCATTCAGCCTAATTGTTGTCCTCGATGGGTTCAGTTGGTTTTCTCCTCCGTTATCGTAGTCAAAGTCTAGGTTTCATTTTGTCTTTCTAGATTGTTAATAATTTAGAGTTTGGTACAGTTGAGCCAAATAATAAATTAAAATGCATCATACAGCTGTTTCGTCCTTCTAGGACTCGTCAGTGATGTGAATGGCAAAACATCTTGATCGAAAGAAAATTCAAAATCTAGACAGGGAGGGACACAGCAGACTGATGATTAAACAAAAGTCCTAATTTTCATATATCAGACAATTTTAGAGTAGTGTCAAGTATTTGTAACCTTTATGTCTAATTTTTCGACACTTAGTAATGTCGCTGAGTATGTACGAATGTATTTGAATGGTTTTAAGTTTAACTGACCGATGAAGGATGTCGTTTTCGAAAATGTGAAAAAACGTGTCTCCCTATGTGTCGATTAACCTTGGGTGACGGAATTTTGCAGTTAATTGATCATTTGCCTCTTTCTTCAGAGAGGTACATATCTAACTACAAACGCGTAGGCAGGTACACCTTAACTCAAAATAGTAGGGCAAGTATTGTAATATATTATATATATATATATATATATATATATATTGAATTCATATATTATGATCAGTTTAATTTCCAGTATTTAGCAGTAAATGTGGAATTAGAAACTGAAAGTGATTGTTCGTCATGTTAAAATGTTTTAAAATCTATATCGCCTACATGTTTAGTATACATATCGTTTATGTCAATCATTCTGCATCTGAAAAAAATTGTTACTGCGATCTTTTTCTCCCGTTCAGCTTATAAGTAACATGACATCCGCTGCCTACAGTGAAAGCATCCGACAACAGATAACGGACGATCGGACACATGACACTGATTTCTACGGACCAACGTTCTTCATGAACAACGACGCAGGCACATCTCACCTGTCTGTGTTGACCCCTAACGGAGATGCTGTGTCTATAACAAGTACCATCAATATATAGTAAGTACCATCAATATAAAGTAAGTGACATCAATATATTAAGTACTATCAAGGTATAGTACCCTCAATATATAGTAAGTAATATAAATATATAGTAAGTAACATCTATATATATATATATATTAAGTAACATCTATATATATACATCAATGTATACTAAGTACCATCAATATATATTATAACATCTATATAGTAAGTACCATCAATATATAGTAAGTACCCTCAATATATAGTAAGTACCATCAATATATAGTAAGTACCATCAATATATAGTAAGTACCATCTATATAGTAAGTACCATCAATATATTGTAAGTACCGTCAATATATAATATATAGTAAGTACCCTCAATATATAGTAAGTACCATCAATATATAGAAGTACCATCTATATATAGTAAGTACCGTCAATATATGGTAAGTATCGTCTATACATAGTAAGTACCGTCAGTATATAGTAAGTACCATCAGTATATAGTAAGCACCATCTATATATATAAGTACCGTCAATATATAGTAAGTACCATCTATATATAGTAAGTATATAGTAAGTACCGTCAATATATAGTAAGCACCATCTATATATAGTAAGCACCATCTATATATAGTAAGTACCATCTATATATAGTTAGTACCGTCAATATATAGTAAGTATCGTCTATATATAGTAAGTACCGTCAGTATATATAAGTACATCAATATATAGTAAGTACCATCTATATATAGTAAGTAACATCTATATATAGTAAGTAACATCTATATATAGTAAGCACCGTCAGTATATAGTAAGCACCGTCAATATATAGTAAGTACATCAATATATAGTAAGTACCATCTATATATAGTAAGTAACATCTATATATAGTAAGTAACATCTATATATAGTAAGTACCAGTACCGACAATATATTGTATAACTACCAGTAACGTTAATGCGTAGTAAGTGCCAGCGCTGTATCGTCGATACATATGAAGTACAAGTACCGTTTGTAATCTATAGGTTAATGGTTGGTCATTCTTCCTTTTTTTCTAGTTGGCTCATTTAAAATTTATAACAAAACTCCATATTAGATATATCATACGTTGTATTTTGATTGTGAAGTTTCCAATACACATTATTATCCCTGATCATGGAATGTAGGAAGGGAGGTAACTCTTCTATGACTGTATTGATACGCATTTGATCATGACACACATATCTTTTTTATCATTATCAAGTTTTGGTTCAAAAGAGGTCGGCAGTAGGACGGGTATCATTTTCAACGATGAGATGGACGATTTCTCCACACCGAATACTGTTAATTATTTTGGAGTACCCGCTTCTCCAGCAAACTTCATCAAACCTTACAAGCGACCACTATCATCCATGTGTCCAAGCATTGTTACCGACAGTAATGGTGACGTCAAACTGGTCATCGGCGCAGCGGGAGGCACGAAAATCACAACGTCCACAGCTCTGGTAAGTATCAAAGTGACCGGAAGTTTTACTAAAAGTATTTCATAAGATTACCTTGGTGGCACATGCAATATATATGATAATGATACCAGACAGAATCAAGTATGATTGTACAAAAAAAAAATGAAAAAATGAAAAAAACATACAAGTAAATAACACATTTTGATACAAATTTAGAGTTAGGAACAGCATAAGCAAGCAATGGATTACATGAATTACAGCTATTTCGACCTTCTAGGATTCGTCATTGACCCTAAGGGGTTAAATGTTGAATCAGGAGCGGTTGAGAAAAATCCAATATGATCGAAAGAAAGGTAAACATCTAGATGGGGAGATGAACAAACCCCATAATTCAACAAATCTTATTTATAAAAAAAAATCTTTGAGATACAGTTGGATCAATGGGGTGAATCCACAGTCCTTATACATCAGATCAAAATGGAAAATAAGAAAAGAAGACACACACCTGACAACTGTTTTACTGTTAATTTATCGTTACAGACAACGATGCAAACGTTATGGTTCGGGATGTCCATGAAGGAGGCCATAGACCACAGAAGATTACACCACCAACTTTTACCAAAAGAGATCGCCGTGGAAATCGGTTTCGATGAGGTGTGATGTCGTTAAGCAATTAGGCTTCTTTGTCTTCCTGATCTCTGTCTGCAGGCTCATCTAGATTAGTTTGAATTATGTCTGAAAGTTGTCCCCTTGATTCCAAAATGACTTTGATATTTTTTCTCTCTGTTTCATAACTTATTGTTTAAGTTTTTTTTCGTTGTCTCTAATTTACGTGTACACAATGTATATATATAGACTCGGAACTTTCATTTTACATATCCTTTCTGTAGAACTATTATTTGGTCAGAATCTTCTCGTGATATTTTTCCATTGTCAGAGATTGCAGTGTTAAAACTGGGTTATTTATCTTTCTATACAACAGGATATACTGGCTGGTCTTCGACAAAAGGGACACAACATGACAATGAATGCCTCTGCCGGATGTATAGTGCAGGGTGTACTAAAGAACTCGGACAAAAATATTTCCGGATGCAGTGACTACCGTAAAAACGCATATCCGGACGGTTTTTAATCACACCAGTTGATGCTTGATTAAATAAGAGAGAGAGAGAGACAATACCTAGTATTAAGTTAGAAAACAACTCAAAATGCCTTTGACAATTGCAATTCCGAAATGCTACGTATTAACGATAATGATAAAATGTATTTTTATTTTTTAAAAATCTCGCTGGATATGCAAAGTGGATACATTGTCTGATAAATGTTATTAGTTCAACGATGCAAAAATTAGAAAAGTGTTATTTTCCCCCTTTTTAAATTGTGATTGACAATGGTATTATTTTTTAATCTGGAATCACGTGTATTTTTAGATACCATTACATTATATCTCGCAGTTCATGTAGTGTACATGTTTATAACCAGAACTGGCATATCTTATTTGTTATATGTCATTTGACTTATTATATATATATATAGAAATCATCTATTATTAACTGTGTTGGATCTCGAAAATGTCAAATTTGTTCATTTACCCAAAAAGATCCTAATTTTTATTTACACATTTTTCAGATATTTTTACCATCAGTTTATAAACCTCAGGCGTATCTATTTCTATATATGGTGATTGATAGTTGTGATGATTTGATATAAATTGATATTAACATAATACATCGCACGTGGATCTAAATTAATGATTAAGTCTCATAAATCATGTCGGATTCAGAGACACCTTAGAAAGTGAAATAACTTTACATCACACTTTATGCAACAACTTTTTTCATTCTTACATTGAAGCTACATTTATAAAGATGTAATGTTGGAAAAGGTTACTGCACTTGTAAGTGGACTAAGTGAGTTTTTATCTATCTTTTTTTCTTCTTTTTAATATCAGTTTACATTTTATTTTTGATATATAGGTTGTCATGGAGATTTTCAGGAAATCCTTTCTATTTTTAAATTTTTAAGAATCGGAGAAAACGTATATGTCATTTTTGACGATCATGACGTCACGTTTTCGGTATGAACGGTACGCATGTTAATTTCGTCATACTGATAACTCCAATTACGTAATGAATTCAATTTAGAGAATTACTTATTGTCCTCTGGTGTTCGAGATTATACCTTAAATAACAGAAATAACTGATGCAAATTGTAATGATAACAAGTTATATAACATCATAACCTGGTATCATACGTTGTTAATAATCATGGGCCAAATATTCTGTCGTCTCCTGAACTTGTCGTAGACTCGTCGTTTCTTTCCATGACAATATCACGTGACCCTTAAACCTGTAAAGTAGAAAACGTCTATGTGATAAATAAAATTGTATATAAATGTGTTAAAATGTCACGTTTAATGTCAGTTTAATGTTAGAATACCTTTCCTTTTTCTTTATTCAGCAAATAAATCTACAGTCTAAAAATGTCACCTGAAACCCTATATGTCGCATTAAGAATGAAAAAACATAAACAATTTGGTAATCGCATTATGATTTTCACAGATATATTAATGAACATTTTTGTCCCAGTTGTGAATGTTGAGCCCCGAGGCCACCTTAAGATTCAGTCGACATATTTGGTATTTAAATTATTTTTTTCTAACGTATTCAAGATCTTTATGTCGTGAGTCAAGTTAACCAGTATTTACCGACATTGAAATTAAACAAGGCACGATCCGATAAACCATGACACAAATTTGCAATTGGTGTTCATGTAAGTGAGTCGGAATACTAAGAAATGCTCTCCTTAATAACATGGTAACACGTGACCTTTTATAGGTCATGGATACGGCGTCTTTTTATGGTAATGCCCGAGAATCATCGATCCTCATCTGTGTGGAGAAAAAATGATTGCAAAAAATAGAAAGATCCATCGTAATTATGATATAGTTGAAGCAGTTGTTCTAAGAATAAACGGAAAACTAACAATCATGTAGCGCAGGTATCAATTGAACTCTGACCTCAGTACAATGTAGATATCAGCCTTTACACTTGTTTACGGTTAAAGGTGAGAACTAACCATGCATTAAGGTAAATGTAGGAATTAACTGCAGTGAGTGTGAGAATTATCTAGATAACTATGAGAATGACTAACGATGAGAATATATGTAGCTGTTGATCGTTATATCTTCAATTGATAACGGGTTTAACAACGAGAAAATAGTAAAATTCTTTAATAACAATATTTTCTTGTTCTTGTTGTTTTTGTTGTTATTATCATTAGTCGATACTTTTCTTGCATGAATAATAAATAATAATTTTGATCATCATTTTCGTTTGTAATAGATCTCTACAATTTCAATTTTCCCCAAATTGTAATGTTTCTTTATATACTAAAAGATTGATCAAGTTATGATTTTTTGTATAATTATCCTTATTGCAAAAAAACAAACAAATATATATATATATATATATAGAACATGACTAATTTTTTTATATATATTTTATATAAAAAGAAAAGAGTGTATTTGTTTTTGAAGTTACAATTGGATGATAACAGTTTCTGTTACATGAAACATTTTTAACTAAATGAACGTTATATGACGTATACAATCAAAAGTACCACCAACAACAAAAATGATAATATCGACATGTCAACAGAATCTTGTTTCAAACTCAAATTTGATAAAACTGAAGCAAAGTATGAAGAATAGAAAAAGATACACGGAGACTCCTGCAAAAATACCTTGAGACTAACACTATGTGTTCTGGAAGTGAAAACGTGTATCGCAACAGATATTCGCCATGTCATTATTTGTAGTTCACGGTCAAAGACATGTTCCGTTTTAGAGCATAGACGATGTTTGTGACAAATAATCTAATCATGACTTTACTTTTTCGTGTAGTTGCTAACTCGGAGAACCGACAACATATGGTAGTGGTGGTAGTAGGAGATACACGGCAGGATATTTACGGTTTTAAATTTGCATTGTCTCGGTGATCAAAATGCTACCCTTATATTAGTATGGATTTTATCGTGCGTCCTGTATTTAATCACAACATACGTGCATGTTTATTACAACTCTCTGTAATGTGTCAACACAAAAGTACATTGATATAGAACCTACTGGGATTAACACTTTAAGCTTTAACAACTAGCATCATAAACACATACCGTGTGTCCGTTCCGATAGTATTCTGAACATTTAAATCACACTTACTCTTTGAGCTCTTGAACAGAATTGTATAAAAATGCTAAGACAATAGATATTGTTGGCATTGATAGATATAACTATGAATTTATACCCGTCACTATTTCAAATTTTGCTGAATAGAAATTCGAAAAGTCCTGTTTCAGTACAAAGTTACGACTACATACCAAAAAAAAAACAAAAAACAAAAAAAAAAGAATAATCTAGGTTTTGAAAGATTTTTTTTTAAAACGGAAATATATAGACAATGAGTATCATAGTAATTATAAGCCATCACAAGCTTGATTACAAAAACTTATTTAAAAATTATCTTTTCTCGACTTAAATTAACATATGTTTTCCTGTTTTGCATAAGTTTGATGATCACTTCGGATACCAATAACAAATCTGCCCTTTTTATCTTCAGATTAAAAAGAATAAAAAACACATTTGAACTAAAACATACAGTGAGTAGTGGAGTAAAGCTAACCATGCTGAACACATTTATAACATGATATCACCTAATAAACAGTACAGACTAGGCAGGACGTGTTAACGTGTTGGGACACAAAGGCTCTTCTGTGAGCTTATCAGAACTCGCGTGGTGTATTTCATAATAAATCGTCCGGAACCAATCGCCAATGTTCATCCATACCGAGGTATTCACCTTAATACAAACACCTATAAGATATATAGCATGTTTTATTAATATTGAAGTATGAACGTTTTAAGTACATCGCGAGGTCTTCTATTGTTAAACGACGGGCAACATCTATGTTATATATGACGTACATTCAGTTCTAACAGACGAGTTTTTAGAAATCGTTCGGAAAGCAACTAAACACTTAAAGGATTATCTATTTATTATTCATGTAAGGCATATTTATAAATAGTCGATCTTGTATAAATATCGTGTTTGTTATTATTAGTATTGGGAAGTCAACACAATACATAATAACAGACATATTTTTTCTATATGTTTCACAATGATAAAGGCATGAAAAAGCCTTCTACTTAACACAGGGATTCTACAAGTTCCTCTGTTGGTATGATGAAGATAAGAAAATATCATTACAGGTTTAAACATTAAGAGAATGCCTCTGAGTAGAACTTGTGCATATTTGTCAAACAAAACATCTGAATATGACACAGATGCTAAGGAAATGCGTTTTTCTTTTAAAAAACCTTACCAGATCTGGTATTTTGAGGGAAAACAAGACAATGGAATTTTGCTGACTTGATTAATGACCTGTTAAGTTAGATGTTAAAGGTATCAAATGGTGTTGTTCTTTACACCAATTATGTAAACACATTGTTTATTGACAAACATTTAATTACCAAGTTTAAAGAACGTGTAATTAAGATTAGCAAAGCATTTAACTGATATGAAGTAATTGTTGTGTAAGGTTAAACGGTGTGTTTAATCAAATGTCAAAACCTTACACCTGTAAAACGGATATCCAAACAACCTGACAGTCCGGCCATTATACAAACTACAAGGTCATGATAAATTGGTGTCTGCTATACTCAGTGCGAGGTGCAGGTTTTGCAGTGTCATTTAATCCTTAACATTACATGCGGTTATCGGATCGCTTCTGGAGTATTCAAAATTTATGCATGTATTGACATTGAGAGTTAAAGATGAAAAAGCTCTTAGATCTAAATCCGTTTGTCACTGAACGCCCTTCTTGCAAAGCGCTGTTAGCTTTGAAGTTTATTAATCTACAAAGGATTTTTTAAAAAGATAATTCGGTTACGAATTTAAAAAAAAATTTTTTTTTGTTTTTATCCTCACAAATATATTTCACCATTTCTGTTAACATTGTTATTTATATAGACGAACAACTATTGAAGTATTCAATTTGATTGGTTTTGTAAAATGAAGCTTGCCGTGTTTGCTATTGATTGAAACGCATCTATTGTAAGAATGTACGCGATTCCCATACTCCGCCACAATCACTTCCTCGACACTCAGAAGCTTGATAATGAGCTTTGTCTGTCAGAGCATCATTGCATTGATTGTCTTATACCTTCGTCATCACCCATATACACGTACGTTATGTCATGTTCTTCAAGTCTAGTATATTTCTGATATTTTCATATGATTCTAGTGTTTTGCTATTTCGGATCCTGTCGAGTTTTTCCGTTGTCTTTTTCTATGATTTTGGTAAAGGTAGAGATATGATTTGCTTTTAGCCAAAGTCCCAATAATACTAGTATGAAACAACATTGCATCGTATGACTGATGATAATCTAAATGCGTTACACGATATAGCAAATACACTTAATTTTCATACAGGGACATAACAAAGGTTAAAAGATTGTACAAAAGACACATGAGTGAATAACGTTTTGATACAAAATAAAACTTGACAGAATAGAGAAAAAAAAGATAATTTAGAGTTGGACACAAAAGAGCCACACAATGAATTAAACTACATCTTACAGCTGTTTTGTGCATGGTGCTGACTTGACATACTGTTTGTGTAATAGATATTCAGCTCTTAGATGGGAAAGAGAAATTAACGCATTTCTTATATCGATCAAACCCTATCTGCGAATGAACAGCAAGTGATGTGCCAAATCTGGTGAATATTTTTTATAAGAAATGTTTTTTTCTTCTGGAAAGCAATGCTGCAATCAGAGTATGTATACAGAAGTCTCCTCGCCGTCAATAATGCTTTCAAAATGAATACCATCTTGACGTTGGAGAGCCAGAAGAGTTTCTAAGACATACGTGAAAAACTCATCCTCTCAAACAGATATCTCAAATATGAATTAACTTGAACGGATGGTAGAATTACGTCAGAGACATAAACTTCCTAGGATCTGCATTGATTATGGGGTGAGTGATGATGTTTTTGCTGGTGTTTCGACAACTAGGTATAATAACAATGGTTACATGGTAATGGCATGCATATTGTTACAATAAAACATACCCATATACACACTACATGTGTATCGATAACAGAGATCATGTTTTTCTTCACTTGATATTAATCCAATAAATTGATGTGATGATGACAGCTGTAACACTATACATCCCATATGACGTCATTTCCGTCATGGTTGCTGTGCTGCCGAGGATCGGTCGGGGTCCTTCCCCGGACTTTCCCGGGACTATGTTCAGAATAACGTAAGGAAGCTTATATAATATGTATCATTCGACGTTGGAATTCACTTTTTTCATCTTTCTTGAATTTTGATATAATTTCTATGGATTTGTATTTTAGATGAAATACTCAGGTTTGATTCCATTGGGTTTTTATGTACATTTTATGTTGAAATTGACGTTGTAAGGAACATAATGAATATTCATAATTATCTTATTATATTTCAGAATATTCATATCTTATTATATTTCAGAATATTAATTAATTATCTTGATTATTCATTTCTTTATCAGTGATGTATAGTTTGATTTTAGACTGGCTATGATTCATCCATTATTTTAGTGATAATAACAAAGTATACATATCATAAAATACGGGTCACTCATTCAGAATTAGCTAATTTCTAAAACATACAGATTGTCCATAGAAACACCAACGATACAATCACAGAAAAATAACGTTATGATTTTAAAAGACATATTTTAGTGTCCAAACCTGGCAAGTACAGACTAAAGCATTATGTTAGATCGCCCATCACCATCTGACTAGGATTATACACAACAGGTGCCACATAATATAATTAGATATACCAGTGTTGAATCTGGCTGAGTGACAGAATATTTGACAAGTCACCGCAGTGTGGTGTTACGGCCAGCTCTGTTCACAGTTTAGTTTTGGAATCGGGATTAGTTTATTTTCAATGTATTGTTAGTTTTAGTCCTACTTTTTTTATTGAAATAATAAAATTACGAACTTGAGACATAATTATTATTGCAGTAGGGCGTTAGTTTGTACACAAATGTAAAGGATCAAATGTATTTGATAAGTAGTTTCAGTGCAAAAAACACTATATATCTCGCTAAACTAAATACAACCCATTATATATATAAATATCATGACTGATTACACATAGTAAATTATTGTTCCGACAGTTATTTTGTAATTGAATAATTAAGAAAAGAAATTGACTATAAAGAATTCTTGTTTGCATTAATATTTTAAGTGACGGGCGCGTAATAATCTCAAAGTCTTTATAAAACATATAATTCGTGAATTGTGACAAATACACTGTGAAATGGTATGCATTGGACTCAAAACATTATACCTATAGAAGGGATTTTGAGTATTGAATACTAGGACAAGAGAAACGCTTGTTATCGTCACATAACAGACTAAAGCTTTTATCTCCTACAGTAAACTATATACTATACAACAACCGCAATTTTCAATACATTTGTTGTGATTAGGTCTCATACAATTTCTTTCAGCGAGTATATATTTTATCTCGAGCGATTTAAATCATTTACCGTCGTGTGTGATTATATATATACATATATACACATAGACTTCTACCAACCTTCCGAACAACTTAACTGAATGGTTGTGATCATGTGATATCCCCATACAGTGGTCGATCCGAACCTGTCGTCTCGCGCGGTTACCCTTAGAGATTATGTACACTAATGGCGGTGGAACCTACGGCGTCTCGGCACCGTCAATGAGCACTACTTAATGTGTACATAGTTGGGATTGGGAGGGGGAGAAATGTTGACCTCACCCGGAGGTTGTACACCGTGAAATGGTCCACAGGTTGGGATATCTGTGGATATAGTCAGGTGGTACATCTCCAATTTGACATTGCAGACGGATTTTAAAATCTAAGTGCTTTAAACAGTGTGTCTATTTTTTACATTCGTTTAACTTGACATTTAAACCTCCAGTTTAAAGGATCTTAACATGGCTAGTGGAGTGGCCGCGGTCCCGCGGGTATCGGGATCTCCTCACAAGGGTATGAAGACCCCTAATCTACCTGTCATTGAGCACCCTATGGCCAAATTAGGAAATAAGGGTGATCTCAATATTCGTGGATCCTCCAGCATGGGACCAAGGAAGGACACCGGACATGGCCTTAATTTGGATTTTGGTCCCAAAATGAGTACTAACGGCCCTGTCGCCCCGGGCAGTAGGGGCAGGGACAACGGAAACCCATCCCTCTTCAAGAGCGCACCAGAACGAATCATACAGTGGCCCCCAGGTAAGTCTTGTTTAATTCATTAAAGTTCTTATATAATGCATTGACATTTTAGAATTAATTGCATGCCCCAGTGAATTGGTTAGACTTAATAATAATGATTAATTAATATTGGAAAATTCTTTGATGTTATTAAAATGCATGTCGTTGTTATTGGTTGAAATTGACAATGCATGGTGTTTCAGATTCTTTGAGTTCTTAACGCTGGAATATAAAACATTTTAAGTTTAACATGTAGATAATGAAAATCCAGCATACATTAGCATCATCTCCACATCATCACGTTTATTTCCATCGCCATTTCTTTACAAGTTAAGATTATCAACACACTCAATCACACTGCGCATCTCTCATATATCATGTCCCAATTGTGTTTCGTCGTCTGAATTCAATGACAAATTCCTATTGCGATGTTATCTTAATGTTAAGGTTGCAAACCTGTAGCAGTTACAAAGGCCATTTTGTCATTATTTCTCTTTTATGTCACAAAAAAAAATCATTCACAATTCAAAAAAATTATATACAAACACTTACAGAATCCTGTAACTGTATCTATTATTTGTTAACACACAAACATCATAGTGCACAATATATTTCCTTTTTAACAACCCTTAAAAAATAAATTATGTATTGATACACGCATGTTAACATTATGACAGAAACATAGTGAGCTAGACCATTCTAAATCGCCGTGTTAGATCGTCATTCTGTGATTCTTGACCCACTAATACACACACACAAAGATATAAACCACACTATGTATTGTTTTCTGAAACTCGACCCCAATCTTAATAGAAACACAGTCTACAAAAAGTATGAACTTAACGCATTACTACCTACTCAATTTGTATAGGTGGTTATCAACGAGTAAAGAAAACGTAAAATACTCACTCCTAATGTATTTATAACACTCGATTAGTGAGTACAGCTGTTGAGCGAGGTACCTTAGTGTATACAATTAAGACAATTATATAGTAAGTAGATTTTTAAAAGAATTTTTTAAATAATTTTCCCATAAAATTGTTGACGTTCAAATCATCAAACTGTTAACAAATAGGTACTTTTATAATTTTCTCTTATTCACTCAATATATTGTGTTTTTACATCTTCATTTTTTTTTATAAAACTTACATAATTTTAAAGTGGAAGTGTTACCTGGTCTTTAACAAATCAATGTTTTGGGTAGTTATACCAATACATCAAAATACATCAATAGATTTAATATCCTATGGTTAAGTGCTCCGAATTCAACGCGGAAATTGATTTAACAAGGTGTAAATGTGAAGCATGCTCTCAAATTGTCTATTGTTGCGTTTTTTTTTAGTAAAAACATTTTAATATACCTCTCCTGCTCAGCAGGAGAAGTTAGCAGTAACTGGCACGCGAGCTTCCTACCGTTTCTATGTACGGATAAATCGTATTGAATATCACAAAATCGTTTCACAGTAAAGCCATAGATGACTATCTCTGTGGAGTGATTTCACTACCGTGTTTACCACTGAGATTTGAGAGGACAATTAATGATAATTAGAAGTAAATATTGAGGCGGATTTTTCGGTCTAGTGTAATTGTCTGCTACCTGTTACACACAGAAAGTGTTTACTTAAAAGGTAATGTCGTGTTTGTTTATCAAAATCTGGCCTACTGATTGTCGATTCTTTGTGTGCAAATCTTTTATACAAATAATCAACTATTATTAAAAATGCATAAATAGTTTAAAATCATTTTCTGATAATAATAACTTAAAAAGACATACGATTACGGGAAAGGCCTTGTTTCATGTTTAGACTTTTCATATTGAAATGATACTATAGATGAATAAATTTCAGTGTGATCAACTATTCTGAAATCTACAGGCGACATGCTCTATCGTGAAACAGGTTTAAATGTTCATGTATGTCTGTTTACCACACAAATACACGACTCACTGTGGGCCCGAGTGTCAGTTGTACGTGACGTAACCAGATTTTGGAATGTGTAATATTAGAAATGTTAGACGTTACTAGGATGGCATAGGAGGAGGGGATCAGTTCCGGATTTCAAGTAATCCCCAAATGTTCTTTAATCTCGACTTTGACATGTATATAGGGTATATGTGTATGAAATATCAGACACCTATGTATGTACACTACTCTTGTGATAACAGAGCGGCCATAACACTTCGTGAGAGAAAACCACTTATCACAAGGACGTAGCGAATGTTTTACCTAGATAAACCTTTACAACGCCATTGACATGTTGTGAAAATCAAGAACCGTGCTTCTTCATTATTGATGGTCGAGTGGCATAGTGGTAACACACTCGCCTTTCATCTTGACGTCCAGGGTTCGATTCCTTGAACGACGTGATAAGGTATAGGGTCACCTTCCCAACCACTGGGCACTCGGTTTTCCTACCACTCTTCCATTCGGGCAAACAAGAGTTATTAAAATAAAGTGGAAACACTTTTTTCGCGATGATTGTAAAACATAAAAGATAATTGACTGAAAATGAAAAAAGCCGTGGTTAACAAAAATGTTAGTTCTTAGTGTAATTATAGGTAAATTATGTCGTTATAAAGTGTATAAGCACATTGATGAATACGTCCTGATATCATTACCGTAAATATTGAGCTGTAGAGAAAGCAGTTGTTTAAAGAGTAATTTCTATTTGATACGTCAATACACTAATAGATATCATGTATAGAAAAAACTTTTGCTTACTTTTGCCGTAACCTCTTAATGTAATTTAATAATTAATTTTCTATTAGAAGATCAAACATGTTGCCGGACTAGTAAGTTTCCATTAATATGACTATATAGAAATATGTTTCTATGAAATACCAATTATAATTCTGCATTGAAGAAGTTTTCGTGTACTATCAATACTTGATATAAAATTCCAAATTCTTCATCTTTGGATCCTACTACTCACTAGCCCCATCTTAATATAAGGCAAACATTAATCTATATCTAGACATGAATACACATATACTTCTGAATTACATAGCAACATGGCTTTTACGAGGTCACTATTTACTTTAAAATGACATTTCTTAGCAGCCAACAAGTACTTAATGGAACACTGTAAATGGTAGATCTGTGTTCAAGGTTTGGGTGGGTGTTATATACCTTTCAGACGAACACCTCGTTTTGAGTCTGTTTCTATGGCTTATGTTTACCTATGGTAGATAAACCGCTAATGTGTTTGTAAACAAATTTGTCAGTCATTCAAACATCAGGTATATATACAAACGACATAATAATATATGAAATAAATAATAATTAATGTCAATACTAATTAATCTTTTATCAAATCACCTCAACAACAGGAATGTCGTATATAGAGTATATGCTATTTACACAAACAAACATGTCTGTTTGTAAAAATCGTTCGTAAATTTCATTCTGATGTGAAGAACGAGAGGTGACAAGAAACACAGGGTACCATTTAGGAGTTATATGTATGTAATTAAAACCAGCTAAGCTCATAAAGACCGGCTGTCGAGTTTGATGACTTCATTTTTTTATCAAAGTTCTCTTTCTTATTGTAGTCATCTATTATCTTCCTGATAGCTCCAGCTGACCATCTGTGCTTTAGAAAAATAGGCGTTAGTGTGCATTGCTTTTATTGCATTTCATTAAAATGATATCAACACATTAGCATAAGAGGACTTCTTTGTGAGTATTATACTCTTTACAATTCCATTCTAGCTTTTACAGACTGAATGTTCGAACACAGACCTTGAATACATATCCATATTTAATATATACTTAATACATACTGTATGTATATAGCTAATGCAGACAAATGAATGGAAAAAAGACACTTGGTGAATCCTTAAACTGTGTTTTATATCATTGCCTATTTTTGTGTTTTTGTACATGGAGATTTTTTTTTTCAAATCTTCCAAAACAACCTTAATGTTGTCAATGTGATAATTATGAAAAAGGCCTGAGTTTAACATATATTTATATATTTCAGAGTGATTTATAGATTTATAAGAATATGTAATGGCATTATAACTCTAGATCTTACTTATCAGGATGGAAATTAAACAATTTTGTTCAATGCGTTAGACCTATAGAATGGCGATTCAACAATTTACATATTGATATAATAAATTGGGACCCAAGTTTACAACGTTGTTCGAAATGTTACATATAATATAGGTTACCATTTACAAAACTGACAAAATATCTGAACGCAGGACCAAAGTCTACAACATTGATAGCAAAGGTTACATATAATAAAGGCTACCAAGTGCAAACCTCAATGCATTGTATGTACTCTGTAACTTAGAAATCGCCTTAGGCATAATGAACCCCCTGGATGTCCATATCTATTTCACACCATTTGTTATCAGTATCTATGGACAATAGCTTACACATTGTCTGTAGTCAATCGTCAATAAACCAATTTACAGTCAATAAAAGATATCTTGTTCGTTCGCTAATACCTTCGAATATTCGACATAAAATATATCGAACGAATACTTTATATTTAATAACATTTCCTTAATTATCGACCTTTGTGGTAATGTTGACTTTTATTAGTGTGGGGAAATGTGTGTTATGAATGTTTGTATCAGTATCTGAATTGATCGGATGTAAAGGTATTTGTCACAGTACATCCTGGTACAGAATTGATCCTGTTAACACGATTGTGATACTTGATTGTTAAATGGCCTATGCACTGATCGATTAATGTTCCCAATGAACGTAATGTTCATTATCTGTTCATTACTGGTCTTGTAGTGGATATTGGAAAAACCTCTCCACATTTACATCCAAAATTCAACATAACCTGAATATTAACGTGATTGGCCTGTCGTTTCAACACACAGATATTTACCACGTGTACATTACGAAATATAGGTCAAATTATTCTAGCCACAAATTGCTAAAAAAATGGATACTGTATTTACACATAGATGACTATCCGTAACAGATAGTTTAATCTGATATAATAAACAGTTTAAACGTATAATTTTGTGGAAACAAACTTCCAAAGAATTCTGTAAGTTAAAAATAAACCACACCAACATCAGGTACGACATCAATTCCAGCACAAGTCAAATGTACTTTTCTTAACACTCCAACTATAACACAAACATATCTTGTCTACGCACTCATATATCTTAATACTAAAACATGAGAATATGCCACGGATATTTCAACACAAACACACCTGTGTAAATGTGCTTGTCCCCATTTCATTGATGATATTGTCCTGTTTCACTGTAGTTGCAGATTTATCGAATACAAACTCTACAGATTCTGGTAAGACTTGTATGAAGAAAAATGGTGAAATGTATTGTCACACTCATTCTCGTTCAATTGCCTCTGCAATGATCAACATAATATTATCATTCAATCATTATCATGGTACATTTAACATCAAATGCTATATATTTTCTCTGTGTAACATATTCGTTTCGAGGCAACGTAGAATTGTTTTTAATGTAAACTCAGCAATTTTTTGAGAATGAGTGTTTACCATGTTTAAATGAACAAATTCATAAGACCAGTGCTGAATTTGTTTATCGTCTAGACAATTACTGTAGTTCTAGTATGTTTGAAGTGTTTTTAATATGTCATTTGTATTTCTTCAACAAAGAAGTCGATTTGTTACGTGCCAAGAACATTTCTTTACATCTCTGAACATCTGTTCGTCAATGGATGAATCAAAGTATTACAATAATGTGATATATCCCTATTGTTCTTTGTTCTGTCTTGTCAGACCCTTTTAGAGAATAAACTGCAACACCTCTAGATCAGATAGGAACAAACGCATAGTCTAACGTCGTTTTTATAACTTATTGTGAGGGACGTAGACAACAAAAGACAACCATATCGGAATATTTGACATATATTATGTTAGTACAATAATTAAAATCTTTAGCTGATATTTGTGTAACAACAACCAAGGTAGTAGTCAATTATCGTAGCCATCATATTAGAGAATAGGAAGACATAAAAATATAAACGGAATTTTAGTAGATTTTATTTCTTAACCGTTTAGTTTGCCATTACTATCCAGCACATTGCGTTCATATTCAGTGAAATGTCCATCCTTTTCATAGTCACTCATCGTTTAAGGTCACATGTCTTCGCTCTATACGTCATACAGAGATAAACTACAGCCTTCCCCAGTCTGTAACATACGTCTTTCTTGGTGCCTTTCTCTTTAGTATGTGACTACACGGCGCCCTTTACATATCGTCGGTCGGCCGCCGAAAGGGTGGGCCTGATTCCCCAGAGTCACCCAGAAGAAATAAGTAAACGGATGACAGACGTCATTCTTCCTCCCATTGAGAATCTTGGGGAGGACGAATTTGGCAAGAGCAAACCTTCGTTTAAACTCCCATCTCTCGACCAAATTATGGACTTGGTGGATGATAGATCAAAAGGTTAACAGTTTGGTTGAAGCGTGTGGCGATGCAGTGTTGCTAATATATTGCTTGTTGCATGTGATGTTCGTTGAATGATATTTTGCATTAACCATTTAAATGTTCAGCAAATAATCCTAATAGTTTTGTCAAACACCCTTCTTCAAACCTGCAATATATACTTTCTAACCCACCACAGACGGTCGTGGAAACTTTGAAGGAAAGCGATGGACACATCGTCCTCACGGCGTCGGATCAATTCATACTGGTAAAAAAATCTTGGCGTTCTGTTCCCAGCATACCATTGACTTCCTGTGTTTCTCTAAGGCACATATATTTATTTCCCTTTGTCACAATTAACCGTCTTCCAATGACACAAAAACGAAACCCTCCTGCATTTCCTGAAGTGGGACTATATCTACTGGATACACAAATCACCATCATTGATACCCATGTCGGTACCAATGGTAGACCAATGAAATATAACTTGTTTTGTAGAAAGACGAACGAATGTCGGATTCATATTTTTCTACAAAGAACAGTGTTATCTATAAATATTCTTAAATGTCATGATGTTTTATATAATGTCAACATAATTAAACGCTGCTGAAAAAGTTCGGAAAGGTCTATATGATTTGATAAAGGCAATCTATTGCTGTTTAATTTCCCGTTAGTCATTACAATACTATGTCAAACGAAAGAGTAAATATAGACTAATATGTTAATTTGCATTGGTTGTGTCTTTGAGTTACGTGTTATTGTGTTTTCTGTGTGAAATAACAAACTTCAGGCATTTTTATGCATGCATGTTTTTTTTTTTTCATTTGCATGTCCTCAACATATCATGCAACATATTAATTGATTTTCTCTTTGTTACTGACTTTTCCAAGAAAATGTTATTTTTGTACGAAATCGAATTAAAGCTCACTTAATGCAATTGTATCAAAATCCAAACACTACAGTGAAAATGTGGCGTCTATTGGACAACTATTCTTGTTGTCTAGGTTTCTATCAGGTGCGTGGATTAATGAAGTTTAAAAACAGATTCCGATCTATGATCTCTTTGCTGATGGGTTGATGGTGATTCTTTCAATCAACACTACCATTAGTTTCTCTTGGAAAACAATAATGACTTATGTTATACATAATTTGGGTTGGCATATTATACCTTCGTAATTCATCAATTATATATGCATATACATATACCCATTTGTACCTGTGAATATTAATGAACATTGTATTGCTTATCTATACCATATTCTGTTTACTCAATGTTAATTCTTTTTACGTATTTGAAAATATTGTTGTTGATTTATGTAATCAAATACCTATACATGTACCATTATTATGTCTATTTATTTCATGTATACTCTTTCTACGATTGAATCATATGTATCATTAATTCTAAATAGATTGACGTGTATTTCATCTTCACAAATATCGAAACTTCCAAACATTCTTAAAACAAGTGTTATCATCACTTGGTTTCTTTTGATAGGATTTTAAAAATCTCTTATACAAATGATCGTTTCTTTTCTGGTGTGTAAGCGTTAAGGTCTTGTAGATTACTCCACGATAGTGGGCGCTAAGATACCGTATATTGACCGCTTGTTATTCAACCACAAGGCTCTTTTGTCAACTCCTATTCAATAATCACAATGTTCAGACCAGAATTGCATTGACTAAATGCATTGTGTAAGTCTGATAAATGTCGCACTTATGGCAATTTTTAATTATCAATTCATTCTTGATCGTGTTCCATTTTAGCAGTTTTAGGATATACAGATGTAAAGATAACTTAGTATATAAAACTTTTGTTATTTCTATTGTGTTTAATTGAACTATGTCGCACGTCAGTATCACAAATCAAACTGTTCTATTGTTGAACTGTCACCTGAATAGCTCATTATGTATTCTAACGTTATTATTACAAAAACATATAGTGATCTACTTATTTAAAATGAGTACATCTTCATTATTTATAACTTCCCTAGATTAATTATGTTACAATATATAGCCTATATATTCAAAAGGGTGTTGAAATGGTTTATTATCATATCACATTATCACATGTCAAATAAAAATATTGACATTTCGTTTAAAAAATTATTTCAAATAACTGTTTGTATAAGAAACAGCTATAAAAGGCACTAGTTCAATAAAAGCAATGCTTTGATTCTGTTTTACACTTTTGACGAAACTATTTACATAAATGTTATTGTTATACAAGTTTCATACTCCATTAGGAAATATTTTCATTTGTAATTTGTATTAAACATATTAATGTTTGTGTGTAGATCATGTTATGGGTCCAAAGGCTGCCACAGCACGGACAAAGAAGACAGATCATTCCAATCCAAATTCTAGGAGCCAGTTTGAGGTGAGTCATTAAGCTAATGGAATCAAAGTTGATGTCCTGAAGCGATACACATATTTCTTGATGAAATCCAACTATTCAGTGAGAGCGTTACCGTCATCTGTTAGGTTTTTGTTTGGAATCAATTTTAATCAATTAATTTAATAACTAGACCATATTCTTCTGTTTCTTTGTGGAGTACGTTGGTGTTTGGAAGAGAGGCTAGCTGTCAATATGTTGATTCAGACCGAGTCGGAAGTTATATCAACACTAGAAGATTGTACTGACTAACTTACTTTTGTTTACGCTGTTTTCAAAGATGTTAAATAGTTGTGTATGTATGTACGTAAAATCGGAACATTAATTTGTTTCAGAAAGAGGTGAATAACTGTTTTGGGAATATTTCATTAAAAAGTGAATAACTTGTGTCATAGGGAGGAGAACTAAAATAATCGCTTCTGATATCGATAAAGTGAAACATTTGTTTAACTTTTGAATAGAAGTGGGATATCTATTGCAGTATGTTTCCTTTATTTCCGTTAGAGTGGAAAACTAACATGAATTAGTACAATACAATAGTGTATATTTCATATAGATATGAAATAGATGCGTGGAAATATTGTGAAAGCAAATGCTATTCTTGTGGATTTTTCGTAGAAGGAGTGGAATATTTGTTTTGTTTTGGGAGGTGTTGAATTCTTTTGGATATTTGGATATTTCCTGTACAATAAGTTTACTAAAGCGAAATATCTGTTTCTGTTTCGGATTTTGAGTTAAAGACGTGTGTGCGTTTCGTATATGTTTCCCAAAAACGTGGAATACTTCCTGCTTAATAAATATTGGATTATTTTTGTAACTTGCGTGTGAAAGAGAATTATTTTGATATTACAACTAAATATTTTAGGTGGCAACCATGGTGAAAGAAAAGCTGAACACCGGACCTAATAGTCTCAGACATTTATTCCGGTCAAACGACCCCACTGGTCAAGGAAACGTTACGAAGTAAGCACATTTTCAAAAAACTTTTTTATTTGTTTGACACTCGTTGGTTCCATTGTTGTATACCTTGTTCTCATTGATAACGGGACTTTACTTACTTAGAGAGATCAAGAATTACATGGCGAGTGTCGGGGTGTCGTCAATAAAGCTGAAGACGTATGCTTTTCCTGAACATCTGGTCTTGTTCACCTTGTGCTTTTTAGGAGACTATGTACATCTTTCATTATCTTTATTTTGCCATAATTGCATCGGATTTAAGTTTGAATGAAGATTCTGTAAACACATCAGTATTTTTATTGCTGTTTCTATTTACTTCGGAATGATAAAACTGCTTCGCGAATCAGTCAAAAATGATCGTATGTACTCATGGAAATATTTGGTTTTGTTTCAGAGAGGCGTTGCTTCGGATCATCTATACCATGTGCGGCTATATTTCCACTGATCAGTTCAACAAATTTCTAAAAAAGTAAGCCTGATGCACCCTTTGGATAGGAAACGATAAACAACGTCTTTATCGGAATTTTAAAAAATAAAGAAAGATAGAAAATCATGATGAATTGGCTTTACGTCAGAATAAACAATTAATCAGTACTACTAATGTTAGTAAACCAAAATCAAAATTCGGACATGTTTTCTTATAAAACCTACACCGTAGGTAAAAATAACTGCATAACGTAATGGGGTGTCATTAGTCTTGGGATTTCAAACTTAATCCCTATAATAGCGGATTTAATGCCCTGTCTTACTCAACACTGTCGAATTTCTCGATTCGATTTCATGACTTAATACGATTTAAGACCTAATCTGGTTACGATTAAAATATTTCCAGTCCAAAATATATTATTCCTTAAGAAATATAGGAATCGATCAGCTACATGTATGCGCTATATATACCTCTCTGTATTGACAATTCCATTGCAGTAAGTTACAAACGAACTTGAAAATAATTTGAAGAAGGCCAAGTTACAATTTGTATTATTGCATATACATTGGAAGTATGTCCTTTTTCAAATTAATGTTTGAGACGGCCTTATCTCTGCTTTTTAAGTTTTACAGTTCATTTACATGTATACCTAAATAGTTTGTCAAGTATCTGCTAAACAAAATAATTGATAAAAAATCATTCTGTAAAAATATCTCAACCAAATCAAGGATAGTATTTTCAATGCTGTTTAATCTAATGCAGTGCAGTGTAATACAGTACGTCCTAAGTATGTTTTGTTATGCATTCTTATAAAGTAGGTCATTGCCATTACCATGGATGTTTTAAGAAACTGACTTGTTCATCTTTGAATGTTTTCATTCCTTCCCTATTTTATCATTTTGATAAATAATCGTTTGACCCTGTCACATTAAGTAACTCCATGTTATAAAACAGAGTTTTACTACTGGTAACCGCCTGTCCAATTACTCAAGTGACTGTATGTATAGTACAAACAGCCTTATCAAGTATAGTGATGTGTTTGTTTTGAATTCCGTCCGACCCCTTTGATCTGTATAGGAATTTAATTAACGAAATCGCCTAGGTGTCGATAATATATTCGGCCTACGTAATGAGATTTTATTTCATTACTGAATTCAAATGCGTTTCACAGCATTTCTTAAATCTATTAAACTGCTTGGTACATCATTAGAAAAACGTATGCTATCAAAATACAATTTGAAATCATAATTTATTTCCTTGCATAAAAGTTTATTCGATTTGTTACGTATAATTGTCTCTTATTTGCCTGATAAGAGCAAGCTTGCCGTTCTATGATTGATTTCAAAATACTAATCATTTTGTATTTGTTTTTTTTTCCATTTATAGAATTGGTCTTGAAGGACGAGAACCTATATCGTTTGATTTGTTTGTAAGCTGTTTTAAAGAAACTGATGTAAGTATAATTTCATATATATATCGACCTGACAGTTCGAAGAAATAGTTAATTAATCAATGCCTATATAATTTATAAGTGTTCACTTTAATTGCCCTGAAGACAACAATCTCTACATATTTCATTTATTTTTTATTTAAAAAATAAACATCTGATTGCATTAGTGATATTGTACACAGACTTTGCATCGTCATACCTTTTATTGTTATTGTATTTGCACGTCATTAAGCGATATCTTTTTCAAACATATGCCATTTAAGCTTATCTATAATACATTTAAATAAAAAACGTCTGTTTAAATAACATCTTGTTATAACTGAATTTCATTACAGTCTGATTCTAATACTAAGGTATTAAAGAGGAAGGAAAAAGTCAAGGACTATAGAAAACTTGACCTTGAAGATCTCAAGGTCAAACCTAGGGATAAGATATTTGATAACTTTCAAATCCTACCGGTAAATGATTAAATACATTTAACCATCTACAAATAATTCAACGGTTTGTTGTTTAAACTGGTATTGGGTTAGTTCATTAACCAGTATTATTTGATGTATGTAACACGTTTAATTTTTGGGAAATTGGTTCATTATTTGATATGAAGCAAAATAAAATATACTGTTATTCTAATATTGTCAAGTGTGTTGCTCATTTGTCAGCATGACAACTGACAATATGAGTCACGTGTTTAACACAAGTTGTCCCTATGTTATGGGCATAAATATTTAGGACTTTTACCTCTTAGTGTTTTGGACGTCGGTGCTGGATGATTTAAGGTTAACCCACTTTTTTGCATGTTATTGTAATCGATTTTGGGTATTCCTTTATATATAAGCTGCCAGGGATGACCTCATATAATATCATCCCTATTTTACCTGAACTTAAAAGATCAGTTAAGAGTTATTCATATAACAGTGTCTATATCATATTCTATTATCAGTTCATTTAGATGGATAAGTGTGCAGTTAAATATGCATGTATTTGTTCCTTGGCGTAGTCTGAAGGATGACTACAGCTCGTAAATGTTGATTGCAATATTATATAAATGAAAATTAAAAATGTTTTGAAAAGATTATAAGTTATGAGATGTATGATAATCTGTTAATGAATTATCAGGCCGTGAAGAAAGAGTGGGTAAGCCCGGTACAACGAGCTCTGGCAGACAGAGGAAACAGAAAGAAACATCCTGAGGAGAATTTAAAAAATACAGACATGCTTGTTGAGGATCCTTACTTCTCAGCTCCCTTTTCAGACGACATGTTCAAACAGAAAATCAAAACAGTGTAAGCTTTTCCTCAGATCTCATCAGGCTTGTATTTTATCTAGTCTGCGTTCAAGGTTATGTAATTGAGACAAGATGTTCAACCTGTGTCAGATTCATCTTCCGTCAGAAATCAATATGCTGTAGTACTAGTTCTGATCTCCTCACACCAATATAGATCAAACGTTATTCGAAATATATATATATATATTCCACGAAGATATCCAGATTTATTTGTTTGTTTGGGTTTTCTTTTATTTTTAATCCTGTTTACCTAAAGATGCGTCAAACAGAGGAACAATGACACAATAAATCAAATGTAAACAAATAAATGATGCTAAATGGCAAATACACCGCCTAGAGAGTTATACAATCAAAGTTTTTCCCGCTAACTTTTTATCATGTATTGTAATTACATACATTGTTAATACATTGTAATGTTTGGTCTACAGCAATTATTTATTTAATTGTCTGAATTTAGTTGTTTGACTTAAGTTGTTTAATTTAAATACCAAACTCTGAATTGATTCTATTTTAATCTTTGTTTACAGCGATGACGCCAGGTTGGTTTTTCCTGCCGCTTGTTTTGAGCCTAATGGAATGATTGTACCGCCACAACTCCGCGAAGCCTATGCGCAGCTTGGTATTTATATGATCGACCGAGATTTCGATACCCTGTGGAAGAGGTATTCATATTTAACAATATATGAACTAGATACTTTCATTATCTTTCGTACCTTCGTTAGTGTATGTTTTCCTGAAAATGATACCACACATTTTTTCTTCAACATAATTCTTTAAAATGTAAGAAAGATAAATCAAACAAATTCGTATGAATTTGTTAGAGGCAATACATTTAAATCATCTTTGTTATTAGGTATGACAAGGAGGGCATTGGAGCCATTTTTACGCACAGATTTCTAAAAAGGGTCGGTATAGATACGGGTCGACCAAAGTCGCTCACAGCACGAGATTTACCCATGAGACATCAGAAACTCAAAGAGGAAGTGAAGTCAAGGCCTCGCTCTGAGGCCACGGGTTTAAGTCCTAGAAATGGCTCACATCCTGTAAAAGAAACAAACGCTAAGGAATCTCAGGACAAACCGGCATCTGCCGATAGTAAAATGAATGTGGAAGTGTTTGTGACAACAGATATAAAAGGACCATTAAGTAAGGATAATGAGGAGGCTACTACACAACAAGACGAGGGACGGGCGGAGAGTGCGCCGGACAAAGCAACAAAGGATGTAAAGCAAAGGGAAACTCCTTCAGGAACGCCGTTATCTAATATCAAAATTCCAAAACGAAGGAAAAGTGTCAAGCTTGACAATGTTGTAGATTGTCTCCATTACAGGGTAAGTTCTTTTTTTACCTTTAATACCAATATTTATGAATTGTATGTAAGTTTTTCAGTCTGTCGCGACACGAACGTCAAAGTGCGGAGGTACAAGTAATTAATATTACATAATGATAGGAATACGTATCATTTTTACATTACAGATTTATATTATAATTGTTTGATAAATACTATTGTTGAACAATGTTAGCATATCATTAACACCTTGTTCTCGCTCAGATACTTGTATCAGAGGATCACCTTGTTCAAGTCGACAACTTAAAACGTAAACTCAGCGTTCACCTAACTTATTAACATTATGAATTTTAATTAGTAGGCTTACAAGCAAATATCTGTCCTATAGAGGGTTCGATATCCTTGACCTATTTTCAAAATTTGCATCGGTAATTAAAATGTTGAAAACTACTGACAACATTATGGGAAGCCAGATAACATTCATAATATTTTAATGGTATATCGTTTTTATTTAAAGCCGGGGAAAACAGGATTTACCTGTTTGCGCCAATGTTCCTTACATCGATTAATTGTTATGTCCTTTAAGGAGGTCAAACACGTGGCAACATCCCGAGAAGTTTTATATTGAAAATCAGCTTTTTCTGGACTTTAAACGCATAAGTACATTACAATTTAGCATCTTACACAAATCTATCTTTTTCGATAGCATGGAAGTAAAAAATGCGTGAAAATGTCGAATCAAATCTGAGTATTATAACACCTAAAATGTAAAAAAAAAAACAACTTATGAATCTTCTAAAGCATTAAAAAATTAATGACCATGGAATGCCTCTGGGATAGATTGGTTCAAAATGTCTCCATTCGAATGTTATCTCCATTTGAAGTACTTTTCCAAATGATTTGTGAACCTGTGAATCCTTTTTTCTAGAATATCATAATGAATATATGGAACCAAAAAGCTGTACTAAACGAACATAAAGATAGACTTTACAAAATACTGTCAATATGCTATTGTCAAAGTACATTATGACCTGCTGTATACTAATTTTGGTGACAAAATAGAAACACACGTTTTAAATCACTATCTATCCCCAGCACACGTGCCCCGGGTATTCCCACCCTTAAGGACAAAAAGTGAACAAAGAACTTATCATATAACCAACCATATATACCTTGCGTTGAAGAACACAGATCTTGGGATCTGGTTACACCTTAGGAACTTTGGATTTTTTTTCAAAACACATTTTAGTAACGAGCTTTCAATAAGACTGTCGGTATTGTTGTTTTTCTTCATTCTATTGGTGAATTCTGGTTTAATGCGACGCTTAAAAATCAAATAGCAAACAGAGCTGATAAAATAATTATTTATGTTCAAGGAAATTAAAGATGAAAATATCAAAGTAGTAAGTGACACATGCTTTTATCGTTATTGTTCAGTGGAATTTCTTTAATTATCATCGTACACGTGATTTTCTATTTTTGTCATTTCCCCGTGCTCTTATTGGGCACGAGCTATTCCTTTTGTATTCACTCCAGTTATAGAGTACTGTTTTTTTCCAACAAGCACAAACCATCACCAAATGCTAACATGTAAACGCGATCATAATCCAAACCCAAATTCGATAAAACTGGGGCAAAGTATGACCGAATATTCCTGAAAAAAGGACAAGGTGTTCCTGACAAATAATCACCTTCTGCATCATCAAAATGTTTTTTATTGTTCTGTCATTACACACATCTTGTAGGCCTCTGTATGTGTTCTATCGTGCAAATGTCATTGTACACGAAATGCTGTTCTTAACATCCTACTGTACACATGCTGCTTTTTCTGGGTTTTTTTTTTCAGATTTTATATAACTGCAATTTCACGTGTTCTGCCATCTGTCACTGTCCACGTGCAGCCATTGTTCACGTGCAGCTATATTACATGTGCAGTCATTTTGCATTCACAGCCATTGTCCACGTGCAGCCATGGTCCATATATGCAGCCATTATACACGTACAGCTATTGTCCTCGTGTAGCTATTGTCCATGTGCAGCCATTGTCCATGTGCAGTCATTGCACACGTGCAGCATTTGTTACCGTGCTATACCTTGTTATTATACTTTAGATTACTCCATGCTAGTTCGTATTACTGTTATTGTAGCTGTACATGTGATTTTATACAAATGTTTTACTTTTCAGTTTGAGGAGTCCTACAACGCTATGCTGACGGCCTGTCAGCTGTTTGACTACCTGAGTGATAACTATATATCTCGTATCGACTTCCGTCGGTGCTTACAGGAATTCGGCTTCAATGTCACTGTAACCGATCTAGACAACTTCCTAGCAAGGTAAGGTGTTATACTTTATAATCTAAACTCTAATTCAGCTTGTCATACAGAACTGGACTGGTTTCATTCTACTGAGTGCCATGCCCACGAAATGCTTGATGAGATTTTTTTTTAAAAAATCATTTTAAATCAGCTTTAATTACCATTCATGAAATATTAAAGAAACCAATATGTTGGTTGAATGTTCTGTCAAATGCCAATTTAACACCAAAGAGGGATTGCTCACAAGAATGGAATATTTTAAGGTTTTAGTTAACGACACTTTTAAATGTTATGGAAATACTTTTTAATAGCAATGATGTTTAATGACATATGTTATACAATGTGAAGTTTTTGAGGCAATTTCGAAGTATATATATAGTTTCCGAAATTCGTTTATTGAATCACATATTCTTCTATGTATCACGGTCGTTAACACGATAATCGATAATTCATAAATCATAAAAGAGGTACACATAGATTTACAAACCGTGTTATTAATGTATTACTGATACCCATAGCTAGCAAACTCATTCTTTTCTTTGAATACACCTGTAGTGTATATTAGTCTGGTTCCTTTGATAAATTTGTCAGTGAAGCTAACAAAATGTCTGAGACGCAACGCAAATTAAATACATAATCTGATATACAGAAAGGTCACACGGTCCAAAGGATTCAAAATTAGAAGAGAAGTAACATTTTGCGGTAGACACAAAACGTGGTATGTGCCTATAGCGATAAATGTATATGTTTAATATCAATAGTGAGAGATTACGCCTTGCTAATGGTAAAACAGTAGCCAAATATTAGATGTATGAGTTATGTAGTACCTTGGTATATCACTACAGTTCTTCGTGTAGAAAGACATGAAGTACTTAGTTGTAGATATTAGATCCGATACTATATACTGTCATATCTTGTACTGGAATTCGGATTTAACTACCAATATGGAAGGACTATACCGAAGAATTCTATATCACGTTTTGAAATATGGAAAAAAAAGTTTCGATGAACAGGATCTAAAATATGTAAATTCCAAACAGTATGAGCAGAAGGTAACGAAAATTAACTGACCAAAGTTTTTGGAAAACGAAAATTTTGAAGAAAAATGATGACATTAGAAAACGCACATTACTACTGTTTGGTAAGAATTAAATCATGCATTGTGTTCAAATAAGAATTAACACATTATTATGGCAGTATATAGTGTATATAGGACTTAGAATCATAGTTCTCTACATATGCGTCTGTCTTTTTATCCGCAAATATAGAATTGGAATTCGTTCTGTGCGCGGCCAACTCAACTACAAGGAATTCCTGACAAAGTTTCAGAGTAAAGCTGAAAACAGTATAACAAGTCGGACAGTTACGAATAAGTATCATATGTAAGTAAAGGAACAAGAAATGTTTTGGTTTTGTCTGTGTGGATACGCTACTACGCTTGTTATAACTGTGGTTCGAGCTAGTCTAACATTAATTTTGTTTTCTCTTGGTAGACCAAGGTAAAACAAAGTTGACATACGTTAAACAGCTACAATTGGTTTGTTACATCACCGGAATGTTCAGTTTACAATAAAATGATAACAACAGATAATTTATATTCATTATAGATTAGACGGTAACATGTTAAGGCTAAAAGTCGGAAGTCACAATTATGTCACTGCTATTATTATCGAAATTGTATCGGGATGTGTATTGGTTAACCATTAACAATTATTGATATCACCAAAGTAGCTAAATAAATACAGACATCGTGTAAAGTAAAGGGAAGTTACTCGTATACATAATACAAAGCTATACATAAAGCTTCGAGAGTTCGTAAAAGTAACTTCAACGCTCATCCATGTAAGTAAATTTAATGTTTGTACATTTATCTGTCATTTGTTGGATTGCTACTAAAGATATAAATAAAAAATAGGAGGTATTCGATACTGAAGGGAGGAAATTTATCAATATCTTACAAACTCTCTCAGCTTTGAACCTTGTTTTTCTTACAGGTTCCAAACTGACTCACTGCCTGGGTCAAAGAGTGGACTTTCAGCGGAGGAGCTGGAAGGCAAACTGGTGGAATATTTTCATGGCGACTTCATCAAACTCATCTCCTACTTTAAGTAAGTTCAAGATAAATTCAATTCATTAATTGATGTACCAAGAACATGGAGATTGTTAAAAGGACATACATATGGATATACAAACGAATAAAGAATATATTGCTTTAATACCATGTCTCAATCTATATTTACCAAAAAATATACATAATAATTCTCTAAAAAAAAAAAAAAGAAAAATACATTTGGTAAGAACGTATTAAGTTTATGCTGCATATATGTAATATTATCACTGACAATTTGAATTTTTTTACTTATATAGAATATTTCTATTGAAAACATGTTCAATCAATTGCATTGTTCTACAATCATTTCATTTCATCTTTTTAATTTTAGATCCTGTGACAAGTACAACTTGGGGGTTATTACTGCCCATGAGTTCCGATGTGGAGTAGAACGGAGACTAGGCTATCAAATCTCTGAGAAACAGTGGGATCAGCTTCAGTCGGACGTAGGACAGGATAATGATGGACTTATCCCGTATCACAAATTCCTCCAAATGTTCGATATTATGTACGTCAATTAAAAATTTTACGTTATATCTACAATAAAGTTGTCTCAATCACACACGCCTTTGTTTCAAGTACAATTTTATATGTGCTCAACTTATGAAAAAAAACACCAGCAATTACATCTGATTCAAATAATCTTATCAAATTAATCATCCGTAAGGATTTACACACTTCAGAATTTTCTTGCAACTTTCTTCGTAAACCATGGTTAACAATCAGAACGATTTGTTGGTGGTTGGATTTTTACGTTTCCAATGTTTATCTTCAGACCTGGATCCTGGAACAGGAGGATGGAGGAAGGAGTAGCCGTTGTCCAAGTCAGTGCAAACGACATGAATCATGTTCCGGAACTGGACAAACTCCGAGAGAAGGCCAAGACACACATGGTACCACACGAGGTGGAGAAACCAAAATCTGACGTCAAAACATTAGAGGATGTAAGTTGTGTTGTCTAAATATAGAATCATGACGACTTAGTTGTAATATTCCAATGTTAATTCATTCAGGACAAAATGTGCTTTAGTCGTATATCTTTATATCTATTTATTCATGTAGATAATGAAATTTAAAGTATGTATATGCATAATAAACAAATGGAAATAATGTTGGTTCATACAAACCACTTTGTTTATTGCTATTTTTATTGAAGGACTGGCTAAGATTTACATGGCGACTATTGTCGATGAAGCAGAAGACACTTACTCTTCTGGAACACCTTGTCCAATTATCCTTATTCGTACTTTGGAATTTCCCCACTGACGTCCAAAGCTTCAAATTTGAGGCCTTTAGCATCACATTGAAGGACGAAACAGCTGTATGATGCAATGTTACTCATTGTTTCGATCTGCTGTGTCTCACTCTAAATTATTAAAATGTGATATTCACTTGTATGTCTCTCGCACAATTTTATACTTGTTCATAGGTTCATAGGTGTAAATATTTCTTTTGATCATATTTGCCAAATTTTCATTGAACTTATAATGATGATGTTCAGCTGTTGGAATTTTCTTGCTTTTAAACACAAGCATTATTTCAGTGCATCTAACAAGAATACACCAGTAAGATCTACAGGATATTGCTAATGTTGATATCGTTTTTCTATTTCAGATCAATGCCTTGATAGAAGATCTGTTTAAAACCAAATTCCACACATTTGATAAGGTAAGCTGAAAACAATAATGCAATCATACAACAAATATATGTTTGAGCAATATGACAAAATATATCACGTTTGCTCCAGAATGATTCCGACAGAAGTGTTTAATATATTTATAAACGTTCTTTCCCATTTTCTGCTTTATCTTACCCATTTCTTTTGGAGATTTACCTTGATGTGATCCATCGTACCATCCTGTCAAGAAAATTAATTCTAACTAAAAATATTTTTTGTGGGATATTGAATTTTTATTTGCATTGTTAACCTCAATAAATCACCTTAAAGTAATATAAGTAATACATATATAATTGAATGTGGTTCCGCATGACTAAATTTATATAAATAGAAAAATTATATGTTTATTTATACATTTATGTTGAACGCTTGGCTGAAGACGACTTGTAAAGGATGTATGATATTATTGAGGAGTTTTGATACGTATCTAACAGGATATTGTCGTGTGGATATATTTTAAATATTACACAATCTATCAAGAATCTGCATAAGGAATAAAAGTATTTATTCCTAGGCACGGCAGTTTTATTAAAGGTTTTGATGAATAGTGTTTGAAAATGTAAATTACTTGTTTTAAATACATTTAAAAATAACGACTTCTGATCTATGGTTTATTTGTAATCCTAGTTTACTTTGTATATTCTAAAACCTAGACGGAACAGATTTAGAGATAAGTCAGAAAAAAAAGTTTGACGAAAATATTATTCAATTATCATATATGTTTACATATATGTTAACTTTAAGTAAAGTTCAATTAAATTAAAAATTTTATCAATTATATATTCAATAACGTTGACTTCGCAGATAAGTTAAATTGTGTTCGCCCCTATTCAACCATATCATATTTCGTGTTAGATATCGGAGTTCGGATGCTACGAAACTCTCGTGCAACATTCGAATATTAGTTGTATAATGATGTTATTTTTGTACGCAAACAATCTGATTATATTTCTTTAATGCGTGTAGAGTTCATGCGCAACATTAGCTTTAACACACTATAATTAACACGAAACAATCCATACTTGTGTAATACAATGTAAGAGGAAATTTTACCCTACCATGAATTATCTTGTTACAAGGTTTTTAAAATCCCAAACAGAGACAGATAATTATTATAGTTCTAGTAAAATTGTGTGATTTTCTTCAAGCACTGAAAGGAATCGCAGCATAATTAACCTTTCGGTGAGATCTTTAAACCCCTTGGAGAAATTAAGTTATGCCCAAGTACGGTACCCGCGCAATAAGTTTAAATAGAATATCATCGAGACCTACCTGTACATTCCTCAGATAAATCAATATTAAGGAGGACCTATAATGTCAATTTCTACCTGTATAGGGTATATCTAAAGAACGACCCACATGAGTGAACCACAGTGTATTTGGATATGACCATCTATTTATTTAGGGATTTTGACCTTGTAAAGTCCCACTAGGTGTAAGCGTAGACTTAGGTGATCAGTAATAGTCGTGTTGACGGGATAGCTTTCCACCTGTGTTATGACAACCCCATTTCTATATTGATCCGTACTACTGACGAGAAGCTCTGATTGGCATAAATCGATTATTTCACATCTTGTTTTACCCTGGAAACGTGTATACAACATAAATCCGCCATGATGCTGGATATTAGATGAGGATACGTTAGAAAGGTGTTAATTGTGTGTCTGTATAACACCCTTTTCGTCAGTGTGTCCGTTTAAGAGTGTAGGTCTGTTGACCTACAAGTGTGAGCCGCCATCATGAGTTTCATGGATATGTCATTGATGATAACCAAGAAAGAGATACATAATAAAACCAGTAGTACTAACACGACATCAAACACGATGACACGTTCGATGTCGAGAAATGGATACCGCTCCTCTAACACAAGAGCTGTGTCCAGGGCGGTCACTACCTCATCAGAAACACGTTCTGTTACACATTCTGTCTCTCTACAGCATTTCAAGGAGATGGACAGAAAAATGATGGGACGAATGAGTAAATGGCAATTCTGTGCCCTGTTAAAACTGTAAGTATTGAATGATTTTCATTATGTTAAGTAAAAGTTGTATTAATTTAAAAGATGTGTAAGATAAATGTTAGGAATACATGCTAATACTTTTGCTATGCTCGGTCGAAATAACTTTCTATTTTAAATTTATCAATTATGCATGAAATGCAAACAACGAACTCCATATCCTTTTATCAAATAGCAAAGGCAATTGGTAAACATGACATATTTAATCTCTTGATGATTTAGTTGATACCACCAAACCTGAAACGTAGCCATCGTAAAATATATTACGTCATTTTAGTGTCCGAGATGTGACGTCAGTTTCGATTCATTTATTATTTTACCATTGATGCATAGCAAACATAACTCTTGTAACATTGTTTGTCTTCTCAACGATGTCATGAGATCAAACTTCCTTATAAGGAATCACTCTTCAATGAGATGTACACCACTGGAGATGCTATCTTAGACGACAACTTAATATTCTTGCTAACTTCATCATAGAGTTATAAGATATTTGTGTCCAGATATATTTGCTGATGTACATTCATATCTTCCAATTAGATAATTGTAAGACGCACCAGAGTTGCTCTTACAGGTTTACACTACCTAGTTGCATAGTACTGTCTTTATTTTATCAATCCCTTACTATTTAGACATATAATGGGATAAACACTTACCTATGACTGAGTATAGAATGCTGGTAATGGAGATACTATGATTATAATCTAGATTTCATTTTCATCCTTCATTCTTGTTATATACTCTTATGGTTTGATTCGATTTATGAAATAGACATAATGTAACAATTTAGATATTCTATTCATCGTTATTATCAATGATATGTACATAGATATAATTTATCACGATTTACAATTCTATTCATCATCATCATAAATGATATTAACAGTCATGGTTTGTTTTGATACAATCATTAACATAACTGACCGTGATTTACACATTATATTCCTCGTCATTATCTTTGATACTAACAGCTTGATTGAATACATCACACTGGTTAAATTGTACCACGATCTACACGTTCTATTCCTCATAATCATTGATACATACAGCTGTGGTTTGATTGGATATATCACAGAGGTCGAATTGTACCGCGATTTACACATTCTATTTATCATCATTATGGCTTGATTGTGTATATCACAGAAGTTTAATTTACCACAATTTACACGTTGTATTCTTCATCATCATTGATACATATAGCTATGTTTTGATTAGATATATTAAAGAGGTTTGATATACCACGATTTACACGTTCTATTCATCATCATTATCTTTGATACATATAGCTATGGTTTGATTGGATTTATCACAGAGGTTAAATTGTACCACGATTTTCATGTTCTATTCCTCAACATCATTTATACATATCATTTAATTCACCACGATTTACACGTTTTATTCATCATCATTATCACTGATACACATAGCTATGCTTATATTACTTATTACATCATCTATACATATAGCTGTTGTTTAATTGGCTATATTGCACAGTTTTAGTTATACCACGATGTATACGTTCTATTCATCATCAATATTATTGATACATATAGCTGTTACTCTATATTTATAAATCCATCAGTTCCAAGATGTATACATTCTATTCCTCATGTGCTTTATTTATTTACAGCTGTGGTTTGACACTGACACAGCCTGAAATGGACAAACTGTGGGTGTCACTCAATGTCGCTGATGATGGCATGTACAGTTACAGTTCACTCCTAAAGAATTTCGTCGATTTCAAATCATCCACTTCCGAAAAGAAAGAGACGGTCACGCAAAGTAAGTGTTCTGTTTGATATTCGTTATATAGGGAAGTTAACATTACCATTCATCTAAACATACTGTTCTGTGATAGTATCACAATGTATACAGTAATTGAAATATTTAATTGGCAAATTGGAATTATCGATTTTTTTTAACTCTTCATGCGATATGGCTACTGAAGTTGATTTCAAATCCAACAAACATGATACATCTTATTTGAACAAAAAGTAGTGTTTAAATACGAGAAGTTTGAAATAATTTTAGAAACTGGTGAGACATTTAGACGTTTCAAATATAAGGCTTTTACAAGATTTTAGTCAAGGATTTACGAGACCTTATTACAAATCTTTCGATGTACAACTCTTATCTGCATTTTGCAAGAATAAACACCAGCATCTACAAATGTGAACTAAAATCAATAATAACATTAGTATTTCATGAATATGGGATAGTACATGTGTTTAGAGTACGTACCATTGCCTAAGGTGATAAAATCGTTATATGCAATAATCAATACTTACCTTTTGAGCCGACAAACAGTTCCCTAAGTGATAAGGATTCAGCTTAAGTGTTATATACTACAAGACGACATGACAATAGAAAGAAGCTTGCTGAGATGCTTAATCTTTATAGAAATATTACATTGTCTAATCTTTGATAATTTCTCAAGGATGACTTAAAATACGTTTTTAACTACTAGACATTGAGATATATCAGTTTATTGTCATTTGTTACGTTAATAATATTTTAAAATTAATTTCTTTTAATTATTAGTTTTTCTATCATAATATTTTTGATGCATAATATTAATGCTTTTATTAAGTGCCTTTTTTTCGGCTTTCCTTATCTTATTCACTGTAAGGTCACACTTGTAAAATCGGAAGATCTAGATACATTGGATAGTTAAAATATTTCAGCAACGTTAGGGGCGGTTCCTGACCCTACAGGCCTACCAGGCAAAGGTTCTCGCAATCCCCGCACAAGGAAGCGTAGTACTGGGATCATACCTACTATTGGTTGTATGTAAATTACAAGAGTTATCTCTCTTTGTGCAGGCATATGGGGCTTAGTATATGGTGGATAGTGAACTTGTGTTTTGTGTGTTAAAATAACCTATAACTGTTGAGTTGCCATTCATTGCTGTTCTGTACGGTGTGTAATGATATTAAACATACATTTCCATGGAGATGGCTAAATAATAAAAGAGGTCTTAATAGTATGATTTCAAAATATAGAAGAGTAAACTATGACAAGAAAATTCCAATGCGATACTGAATAACTTTGATATCTTTGTTATTGTGACATATTTAATGAAGCATTAAAACGGAGCAGTTCGAGTACAGTTGAATTTAGCTGATGGCAAGATGATAAAAAGTAGACATATATCCCAATCAATTATTGATGTCTACGAACACTGAATAATTTAGGTAGCGTGGCTTACATCGTATTTGTTCTGTATATTGTACTGCTGGGACGGCTATGCTTTTGTCTAACACTTTTGAATATCTCTAACCTTACAAATGTATTATGTTTATTTGCTACTTGCGACATAAGTACCATTCTTTTGACGAAGTATTGATGTTTTTCTGTGGCAAACGTTTAATACCCAGATATTTTTAACTTCCAAAGGTATTGAAACGATAGGCTGCTTTTAACAAAGGTACAAGTGTTCTTAAAGAAGTATTGACATTCATGTAGTTTATCATGTCGTTAAAATGTAGTGTTTTGTTAGATTTATGCATTAACAGCATCCATATACTAAACAGGTCTCAAATCACCAGTCATACATATTATTGACTATATTGTTATATATTGTTGTCATGCACAACATTCATGAACTTGGACCAATATTACGTTAGCAATGAACCAAATATTCTTCTGAACGAAAGAAGTACTTTGCTCGATAAATCAGTTCGCTTACATTTCAGACCATTATATCAGTAATTGCAACCTCCTTGTTTTATTTCTATATCATTTAGGTTGTATTGCTTACAGGTATCAATCATACTTATGTATAATTAGGTAAAGACAGATAGAGTTACCATGCTACGATATTAATTTCTATGTTGACGTGACGATGTATCGGTACAGGTGACGATCATTAAAGATACAACATAACTCATGAATACATATCTGCTATTTTCCCTTGGCTTATGTAGACATTCATTCATTAAAAACAAACATACAAAGAAATAATGTAATGGGCAAGAAACGTTAAAAGCTCATCGCTTTCATTATTACACAAACTGGATGGTTTAATTATACAATATTGTCCATGTCAAAATATACAAAAATATAATTCCTTGTAAATGGTGGGTTTATAACTTATTTCTAAACAGTTAATTGTATACCATTTCATGCAGGTGGTCGCATACAAAAACGAATTTGCAGAAAATATTACCTTAAAGTAAGATAGCTATTGTGTGAACCTAAAAGAGGATTTAGATGATATCTCTTGCCTTGGTATATAAACTTACACGCTCTCTGTTGTGAGACTTTATTGAAAAGAAAAAACAAAAAACACTATCGTGCTATTTTCAAATATAGTGGTTTACAAATATGGGACACGAAAGGTGTATTTTACATTCCCACCGTCTTGTCGATTATAATTACATGACATTATTGCTAATACAGATAAAAGAAAATGACACGTATGGATGGTTCTTATCTGAAGTTATTGAACTGTACACGGTAAATGATACGAAATCGTCATCAGTATTGAAAATGAACACAAAAGAGTGTTTAAACCCCGACAATATGAAATGTAAACACATTCTGTATATACATAGGCTCGTTGACGGTAGATTTACAGTCCTAGGACACACGTTACCTGGTAATCTGAAATATCAATAAAACCACTGTTCGACTCGCACACATTAATCTTAGGCAGGCATACAACGGACCCGATAGCAGAGATATACACGGAGGAGTGAATTTGGCGACAATTTATTGCAGTCAACTGAGTAAGTGTACAGCTATCGTGCTGTCTCTCATTCTACCTGTGGAAATAATATCCAGAAGGGGAGATCCATACTTAACCCATAGGATAATAGCAGCGATTTGAAACGTTGGATTACTTACGTCATTTGAGCATTTGAGCAACAATTTTTTTTTTTGATAATTCATGAACGGATTAGCATATTGATTACATAAGGAAATTGATACAAGTTATAACATTGATTCTGACTAACAGGTGATAACACTAAGGAATTGATAGAGGAGGCAAAACGAGTACAACGGGAACGCCGAGAGAAAAGGAAAGCCAAACAACAGGAGGAGGCCAAACCACAGTCCCGAGGTATTCCATCACGCACAGCGTCCGCCACCAGCTTCCCACCTCCCCCACCGTCGGCCCCAGCGTCAATCATGTCAACCAAGAGTGTCCGCACTAAGGAACTTTTGGTGAAGGTCAAAGAAAATGTAAGCTAAAATTAGAAAAAAAAGTTGCTTTTGATTTCTTTTAACTTAATATCTGAATGTTTAAGTTATGTATTAAATCGATCCATAATCCTTATTCACGTTGCGTTACTGCTTGGCAACTACAGTGTAATGGTATTTGCTCATTACCATTTCAATAGAAGGTTGTATATTGTTAGTTAGAATCGATGTATCTGACAGTGTGTACTTTGTAGGACAGTCAGTAACTTATATTGTTCATCCTAGTGATATTCTCATCATCAGAGTATATGATATGTAGATATAGGAGTGGTAGGATTCTACTAAAGATTCAGACTCCTGGTAGGAAACCTTTGTCTACCAATTTCCTAATTACTTAAATGACGAGATTTTCTACGGTGATAAAAATCAACACAGTCGGAATAACGTTAAAATAATTTTTGAAGAGAGCATTTCATTTGATTAAGAGCATGTTTGGAAAGAGAAGAGAGGAAGTTCTTTATACATATGGAACCGAAATTAAAGAGAAATTTGAGAATACATGCAAAACTTCAATAACCTCCGAATGTATTTGGATGGTAATTCCTGACATCAAAGTATTTGCAATGAAAAAAACAGCTGGGAAAACATGATATATAAATCTAGGCGACTGCGTGACCCTTTAAATTTAAATTACCTGTCTGCTACATCGAATGTCATGAAAATTAGAATGCTGCATTTGTGTTGAAATTGAATGTCAACTATAATAAAGCAATACATTGTGAATGCATTTTGGATCACAATGTTCAGTAACCCTATGAAATATTTGTTTACACTGAGCTTTTGAATTACAGGTAATCAATAACTGGGAAGGACTGAAATCCGTTTTTAAATTCATCGACCGAAATGGATTCGCAACTATTACCATGAAAGAAATGTTGGTAAGAGAAAAACACCATGCCTTTTTTGCGTGATATGCCTCTGACTGATGTATAAGTAGTGGAATTAAATTTCTCTTGTATCGGACAACATAATCCTTGCTATGCCCCCCACGTGTTTATACACAAATGACATTATCACATTGAATTTCTGTTTCCACAATGGTAGCGATTGTAGATACCATGTTTTGTTTTAATGTTACTGCTATGTTGGGAATTATATACACGTCAATGTCTAGTGCGAGTACATAGCAGTAAACTTAATTTCTGCTTGAGACAGCTGTGTCAAACAATAAACGTATTTAAGCAATATTGAATAACAAACTGAACTGTATGATTAACTTTGAGTCACTATTTGACTTTACTGTATCAAATTGCAGATTCGCTTTTTAGCGAAAACCATGTGTGACTCAGAACGTCTAAGTGCTATAGAAATACCCATCATATAACATTTTAATACTACATTCTTTGTTACTTTTCTGAAAAATTCCCGATCCGAAGAATTTCAGATGTTCATATAAACTGTCATATCCTATTTTAACTATGAAATGTTGTGAAACAGAACTGCTTTATTTTAAGGACATAATGGAGAGTATGAACTTTTCCTTGACCTCAGACGAAAAGAAAGAACTATGCCAACGGTTTGACCTCCAACGAAACGGAAGGTCAGTACAAATATGTATTTTTGTTTTTAAATCTACCATCGATTATTACATGAGATCCTAAGTAAACCTGTGTTTTTAAAATATTTATGGTAAACAAACAGTTTTAATACTAAAACCATGTGACTCTTCCACCACAATAAAAATCCCTCAGTAAGTGTTGGTATTTATGGCTTAACCAATACACGTTCTGTTTACTGATATAATTCCATGGTTCACTTTGAATACTAGTAAAAAGCCTTAGATCTGTGGTACTGATGTAGTCTTAACTGTTCATGTTTTCATTCTAACATATGTGAAGGGGTAAAGTAAACCAATCTGAAGTGTTTACTTGCCTCTTTACATTGAAGAGCTCTTGCTTACCATCTTTATAAGAAACAGCTTGTGATGGGTCAAGTGCCAGTGCAATCCGTAGCTAGCGTTTCTGGGTTATTAAATAGCTGTAGTTTTCCTTCTTCCATTTGAGTAGTTCAGTGATTCATTAGCGATTGTCATAGCAACACTTCAAATCACTCAGTTTCACATCAGTATGAGGCATCCTTAAGTAAAAGATAAAAGTTAAACTTGGCCATCCACTCAAAACATCTGAAAACAGATAAAGGATATCTTTAGCTTTGTTATGGTTATTAATTTAACTAAAATAATTATCCTTAAAGCTAATGGGGAAATTGGGAAACTCTTCTTTCATCGATTGTTCTTGCATGTTTTGTGGAGTGGCCATTAATGAAACACGTTATCAACCACATTATGTTACAGGTGTGGCTGATTTATGAACCCCATAAATGTTACAAAGGTTTTTTGCCTCTGCATAATACTTGTCTCGCTCTTCATTATCTGTGCGGACCTACCTTTTCGCACTTATTAAAAATTTCATTATTGTGTCATGTTTGACTCGGGGGTAATATTCACATGTTATGGATGTAGGCGGGATAATTTAATTCATAAACGCCATCCACAGATGACTTACGCAAAAAAGGATAATTCAGCATACTGATTATATTAGTGTAAATATGGGAAAAGTGAAACATTTCATGTGACATGGACCAAACAGTCAAATAAAAGGATAATGTAGAAGATTCAGCTGGAGATTTTTTTTTCCATTTACTGAAACGCAAATAACGAAAAGATATCTATTTGACCAAATGATTCTACTACATTTCATGTTTCATATTCAAAACTTCAAACCATAGCTAGAAATATATGTGCACACACGATTTAAACTGCTGGAACAAGAGCAGGATTGTGAATATTCTTAATATATACCGTTCCATTATATGATAATGAATGTCCACGTCAATTTCACGTGCTTTTCAGTTCTTTGCAAGATACACCGTTTGTTTTAACGGTAAATGGTCTGGCGTTTTTTTTTTCACCTAATTCAGCAAACAAAATGAAAGAACAATAGAACCGAAAAAAACAAACAAACAAAACAAAACCCACATAATTTCCAAATTTAAAAGTGTATGAAATTATTCTGATTTGGAATTGCCTGTTGGCATTGTTCAACTTTATTCTCTTAACAAATTTCAATATGTTTTTTATATTTTGAGGAGATCTGTTGGAAGTCGATAAAGATAACTTTTTTGGATGGACAAGTTCTTTATATTGCACACATTTGGTGTGAAATATCGATTTATAGAACGACGATTGCAATCTGTTATATTCATCAATATCTCCCTTTGTTTCAGGTTTCACTATCTAGAGTTTATGAAATGTTATTCACAAAGACCAGAAACTTCCGAAAAAGCCAAATCATTTGTGTATAGTAAACATTCGCATACACTCACGAAAAAGGTACGTACCCTAATAGAATCTTTCTTAGATCTTAAGTACCGATCTAATAGATACTATATAACAGAAACTGAAAGCTAACTTTAAAATATGAAAATAATTCTGGTGTATAAAAGACACGGTCTATAGTGTGTTATGGTTTAAAGATTGGCTCTGACATTTAATAGAACAATTTTATGTAATATCAGCCGATATTATTCATAAAGAGGGGATTGCATGCCATTAATTCATATTAAATGCTAAATTGCATGGTTTATAGATATGCAGTAAAGTAACACCATATCAGATATGTGTGCGTTTTACCGTTTGATATTGGACTTCGATGCATGATTAGTGTACTTTTTATGACTAGTGCATGTTGAAAACAATATACAGAAACTAATTATGACATTTTTGTACTATAAAGACATTAACAAAATGCTTATAATATTTGTTCTTGATAAGACCCCGTCAATAATACCTGAGAATTAGTTAGAGTAGATGTAAGTACCGAAACAAGTGTGTTCTAAAATATGTAAGGTATGTTTGTTTTGATTGATTAATCTGTGTTATGTGATGTGGAGTGATTTGCTAAAGGTTGCAATAGTTTGAATTTGTAGCTGTAAAATAGTACTATACACGAAAATATAAAATTGTTTGGTGTGTAAATAACTTCCTTTTTAATTTGAACGACAACAATTTCGTAACTTTCTGACTAAGGATAATGATATTAACTTGAGCTGTGAGATCCCATTTTCTCACGTTTAAGCAAAACAAAACACCTCTATGCACTTTGAAGTCGAATGCAACTTGCGTACTCAAGTGTATCTTTCATTACAAGTATGTATCAGAATGATAAAATTACCAGAACGAAATGGACTACTTTTATAGACTTATCGTGACTCCATTAAAATGTAACTTGATATACCTCAGCAGTAACGACATTCGAGGGTTAATGAAAATCATTGTTTTTTTTTTTTTTTTTTTGTTATTTTCATAAAAGTCAATACATAGTCATGTATGCGTGAGGGGGGAGAATTGTTTTGCGAAGATCATATCCAATGTACTTTACAAAAATGGCATAGAAAGAAAAAATAATGTTAGGATGGAACGGGATAAAACTCCAATTTAGGGTTTCTATTATGGGACTGTTAAAGTATTTCATTTTAACGTTGTCACATTTAACGTCTTCGAACCTTTATATTACCTGAAATTTATATCGATATGTAGCTTAAAATTTGGGTATATTTTTGTTGATAGAACTTATGACAATAAATTACATCAGAGAACAGTGGTTGAAACATTTATACATATTCTGTCGGAAATATCTTTCCGTAACACAACCAATGTTATTTAAGCTTATACATGCAAAATAGAAGAATACAAACTTCAACATGACATCTAGATAGTAGACCCTAAAAAGTCGTATGTCTTATATTTGTAGAAAGCAATACAAATTGTAGACTTCACAGTGTGTTTGATGTGCTTGTGAACCTGATATATAATACATTCCCTCTGTTTATAACTGTAATATGTCGTCCTTGTTATGAGTGTAACTAACCATTGTGATGTTTCTTTTCTCCTCAAACAGCAAAGAGATGGAACGTCCGTAACAGTGGCTCGAGTCCTCTCTGGCATGAGAGATAAGGTGACATAAATTACCTAGATATATGGTTCTCTTTTGTAGTTCAAACTAAATAGATAGAAAATTTGCTTCCTCTTACAAGTGGAAACAATTCAGATTTCGTTGCATTGAAAACTTTGTTGACATATTATTTCTTCTTTCGTCATAATTCTAACTACCGGGATAAATTAAACCATTAGTTTTTCACTCTTTTTCACAATATACTCACGTGAATAATTCACATTCTGTTCATATTTTGTATTACTCATATGCATAATTTGGTTGATAGTAATTAATTAATACCTCATCTGCTAAATGGTTTCTGTTAAAACTATTTCTCAATTCATCATAAAATAACATGACCATCATCCAATTCAGAAGCAATGCTAGTTTGCATGTATTTACCTTTTCTAATGTAAACACATTGTTATTATCAGTCCCACTAGATATATTTTTACCATTTGAAATCGACAATTTATCAATAAATAAAGTGTTAGTACTACTTGTGATAAGTGTTGCAGGACAATTTGTAGGAGTTATGGCCCTTTGAACTGAAATAGTTTCCTGATATATATGAAAATTTAGGATAACGTGCAACTTGACAAATATTTACAGCGATGACGGAAATGAGATGATTTCGCAGATATTTTATATAGTCATTCAATGATTTCGGTAACCAATTGAGGTATGATTGACTGTAGGCATTTTAGTGATGCAAGAGTCCACATCTTTAGAATAGAAACAAATGGTCAACGAATGTTACGACTGGGCATTGATTTGGTGACAAATCAAAATGTAGAACAAAAGTGTTTTTAAAGTAATATAAGGATGACCGAGGCCAAAATATATGTTTTCATATTTGCATGTGATATCTTATTAACAATGATAAATATGCTGTACTTCCAAAAATGTGGAATTCGTGCATTGCGGACATTTTTTAAGGCATCAATATCGTAGGTCTGATTGGGCACCAGTATGTTTATGATTTGCTTTTATTTAATAACATGCAATCAAAAACATTCATCATCACATCATTTATATAAATACTGTTTCCCTTAACCAAACATCGTACTCTTGACGATGTACATGTTTATTGTACTTTTTGCAGCTTATAGTCGCCAAACTTTGAATTTGATGTCTCAGTCTTTGATTTCACTTTTACAACATGTTTGTCAACAGCATGACCTCTTTTTCAGCGATTTATTAAAACTTTTGTCCATAAGATTAACTGCATGTTCATCTCTGTAAAGCTAATTGTAAATTTGACAAAATGATCACTGTTAAGTAAGATTCATCATAATAAGTAGATGTCACTCCATGTTTATTCTGGCGATCATTTATAACTGAACTATTCTAGAGTTGATTTTATCTATTTTCCTAAAATCAAAATGTGGATAAAAGTTTCATTGTTTAAAGATGTCTTTTCTTGTTTATGAATATTACCGTCTTTTAATTCAAATTTATTCAGTAATTCAACTATTTTTGGAATGCAGATTATATATTTTTTGTTAATATTCACATAGCTGATGACTGATCACCAAAACCTACGACGGGCGTTCAAGAAACTTGACATCAGCAGAAACGGGTACATTTCTGTAGGAGACTTCCGGCGGGCGCTCAAATCATGTCGGGTGGATCTCTCCAACGAAGATTTCTACCACGTGATGACTGAATTTGATAACAACTTGACTGGTCGGATATCATACGAAAGTTTTCTCGGGACCTTGACCTTCATGGATGTATAAGATTAACATAGACATTTTATAGATTTGAATTCTTCATATGTATCAGTTAATCATTCGTCCTAATTGTTATGGAAATATTCTCAAATACTGTATGTGACTAACCTCTTATAGGAAAGAAAGCCTGAATATTAAGATGTTTTTTATTGTTTACCCATTAATTGCAGTTTTATCTGGACCCGGTAAACACTATATAATCAACAAATACAGTTATATTTTCCTTAGAACTTCATCCTCATACCTCTAGGTATTCCGTATGTAATGTATAAGGCTTTATTAATACACTTAAATTAGGCTTATTTGCGCTCCATTGTTTCATATCTATATATGTGTGTATATGTTTCAAATTTTATTCAACACTAGTTGTAGTCAGGACAGACTAATAACGTTGATATTATTCAGAACATAACAGAGAGTAAATATTCAAGAATACGTTCATTCCTCATTTTGTTTTTAATTTCATGTCAATCATACGCATTTACGGCCGGAAATAAACCATTACACACTTTTGTTGTATTAGGTAAGGTTTCATAAGTACTTATACTCATTTAGGTATATAAATAGGTACTTTAACATGCTTATATTACAAGTTGACATCTTTTGTTTACTTTCAACAACTGTGCCTTATACACTGCTATAATTTTGTTGGAAAATTATAATCGGGTATTGTACAGAATCCCAAGTATAATATTACTAGCCATGCTATGATATAAAACAAGACATAGGATTGTGTCATATATATGACATTGAATTGCATCAAAAATTTCTAATGTAATTGCACGCAAACTGAAGTAGTTGAAAGATTTCGAGCGTGTACATAATATATTTTTGCGTTATACCTCCCGAAATATACTTCATATCACGTAAAACATGGTTTTCTAACTTATTATTGAAGAGCTTATCTGTGATACGTTTTGTCATTGCCTTTGTTAGAAGGTCTATTTTATGTTAAAATATTGCATACCATATTTTATCTATATATACTGTATACTGAAACTCTAACAGTTGTCGTGCTCAAGTATACAACACGTTTCTTTCTTGTACATCAGTTTTCTTGAAATAACGAGAAAAAATACTTTTTTTATACAGAAACGGTCAACAGATAGGTTAGAATGCAATACTTTAGTTTAACAAAGAAATACGACTTTCTGATATTTATAACTTATTAGGGTAAATGTGTATAGACCTCTTTAGAAATCTGTTTAATTTTTGTCTTTATTCCTTTTTTTTAATCAAAACAACTGCTTCAAGAAACATATGATTCATTATGAAATTCATGTAACTTTTAAATACTGATTTCATTTCAATATTAAACTCCATTGAAAAAATGATTTATTTCCGTTTTATCGTTGTTATTATAAGCTAACTGGTAATAAGTATTTATATCACTGTATTTAAAATGTTGCCGAGTATATCCTTGGTGGTAATGAAAGATTTAGAAAACCACATACTTATTACCTACTGCATTTAAGCGTATGCATGTATTACATTACTATTAATACATTTTTTACTGAATAGAATGGAAAAGGATTCACAATCATGTTCATGTTATGTTATCTCTCTTGGAACGGTTTCCATTATAATAAAGAAGTCCCAAAAACCTTTTTTCATAACAGTGGATACCAATATATTTTCATACTTGCACCATTTTTTCGACCACCAAGAAGCATTTTTCAACATACATAAAGAAATTATGTGGATATCCATTTTAAGTGATAAATAGTATATTCTGTTTTTCTCAATATTGGTCAAACTCAATTCATCATCAAAATTTATTTAGTATTCAATAACAGTGAAAGAATTCCATCACGTTCGTTAAGGGGAGGTTAATCCAGAGAGCTTGTACTGAACTTTTAATGTGTAGCCAAATAACCTAATTTAGTCAAGATATACAAACACCAGTCGTATAATCGTAATATTTTGAATAATATAACATAAAAAATTTTATTATAATATGAATTATTAAATCATTTAGGTCAACAATTTACCAGACATATATTCACAAAACATTCTATATTTTTCATATCACCTTACTATGATTTCGTGATTTCCCAGAAAAATAAGGTTAGCTGTATCTAATATATAGTCCGCTTTTTAAATCAAATATACAGTTAGTTAAATTTGTCTGGTGACATGTAACGTACATATAATTGCAGTTTCACTGATGTTTATAAATATATAGCCAATCATTGACTCATTGATGATATTATCCGTACAGCTAATTACAGGTTCATAGGTGTTGATAAATATATACAGCCAATCATTGACTCACTGATGATATTATCCGTACAGCTAATTACAGGTTCATAGGTGTTGATAAATATATACAGCCAATCATTGACTCACTGATGATATTATCCGTACAGCTAATTAGTTTCACTGGTGTTAATAGATATTCAGCCAATCACTGTCTCACTGGTGATATCCGTACAGCTAATCAGTTTCAATGGTGTTAATAATTATATAGCCAATCACTGTCTCACTGGTGATTTCATACGTACAGTTAAATACAATTTCATTGGTGTTATTAAACAACGTACAACAAATCATAATTTCACTGGTTTTATTACACGTACAGCCAATTACAGTTCCACACATGTTGATTTATGGACAGACAATTACTGTTTCACTGGTGCAAATATGTAACGTACAATATATCATAGTTGCATAGGTTATATAAATTCACACGTGTTATTATATGGACAGCCAATTCCTGTTTCACTAATGATACGACTCCACTGGTGTTGTTATATAATATATATGTTTTATTCTATACGAAATTTCTTTTGACCCTTGGGAAAGCTACGTACGTTCATCACGTTGTTTACTAGAACTTGCATTCCGTCAGAAGCTTTTGGAATTCGTTGGTGACTGGATTGATATTGCTATGGGACGTCTTAATTGAATACAGTCCCCAGTCATCAAGCTTTTTAAAATCGAATGTAGACATCATGCCCTGGGTACCAGCAAGCATTTCCTGCTTCTGTCAGATCTCAAAGTGCATGTTTCTCAAGGGAAAATGTTGTGCGTATTGCGTCCAAATTAAGCCTCTTTATTTAGATCAATTCCGCAGTACTGATTTGAATACAATAGAACGCTTTTAGACTCGTGTTGAGGTCATCGCTGTCACATTTTATGATACTCTCATATCAGAAACATTTTGTTTAACGTCAAGACCTAAAATGGTGATATACGATAGACTCTATTACCGATCTAAGAGAATTTTGTCTGTTGCTGAAACGAATATGAAACTGTAAACTACATATACTCGAACCTCGTTATCTCGACCCCATATAACTCGATTACCCCGTTTAATTCGAACCATTTCTTCTGTCCTTGACTAACATTACTCTAAACATTCGAACTCACTTAAATAAAATACTCGGTTATTTCGTAGTTTTTCGATTGTCCCGCCGGATTCGAGATAAGGAGATTTAACAGTACATATATATCTATATAACAAATAATAACAGTAAACATATGAATTAATAGATAAGTAAAAATAAATTATTAAAAGACATGTTAATGCGTTGTAAGTGAGAAACAAAGCCAATATGAAAGGGACTATAAATATTTAGATAACACTCTCATGATTAGCTCCCTTAGTACATAATACCTGACCATGAGTCCCATGATTTTACAAGTAAACGATTTAAATATCGGACTATTTCAGTAAAACCTTTCTGAAACTCATCGCTGATACAATACAGTGATCTGACGTTAGTTACATGAATCTGTATGTCATGTCAGTTATTATTCAATATGAAAACAAAACCTACACATATTTTCGATAAGGCCTGCAATCAGAACTGCAAAACTAAACGCAACTATCCACAGATCAGCAATTTACAGATGCAACCGAAGCTATGTTCCATAAAACCATCAACTTGTTGTTTTTTGTTTGTGTTGTATGAAACGACTGGTTTTGCCTTAGTCAAATCCAAAGTAACCACGAATACCTCTTCAAAACACAAAATACAAAATAACCTCTTTATTTCGAACTCGTGTCACTGGAAGAGCTTAACTCTACACAAAACATCCAATCACACTTAAACCGAATACTCGGTTTTCGCGAGGTCTTCCCGTGGTCCCAGGAAGTAAGAGACAATGAGGTTCGACTGTATATACCAAAACATTACCAAAGGGTTAAGCGAAAAACGGTTCTGGCCATAAGGTTATGCGAATATTCTTTACAAGAAGCAATCGAAGTGAGCGCAAATTGAACTACTGCTTCCAATGTATTTCAGGATATCTTTACATCTCCACTCCACACCTTCACTTATTTTTTGTGTAACCTTGCTTGGTACTCATTCCATATTTTTAGATACAGAACGAAATAGAGCTGTGTGCAAGGATATCATCAACAAGAGATGACATTTTACCTCCCCCTGTGAGCAGCTTACAGCACGTCCTACTGAGCTTTAGGTAACTACATTTGGCCCCTTCGTTTCGACACTTTAGAACCATAAAGCATCACTGACAAGTCCTAGAAAGACGAAACAGCTGCACAATGCAGAATAATCTATTATTTTTTTTAATATATAAATGGGTTATGCACGTGTGTATTTTGTAAAAATGTATAGTCATATCTACACGATCGTTGCTGTCATTGACAAAAAACAATATCCCTGTAGTTACCCTCAGCGTTGATGCTACCCCTGGGGAAACATGGCATCATTCCTTTCATAGATGACAGCGTACGGGAGGGGATTTATTCAGCTGATTTAAGTAAGTGCGCTTTGGCCCAATCAGTGTCAGATCAACAGACCAAAATTTCTTGGTTTGATCTGTAACAGATCCCCTCAAACCTCGGGAAAAGATGTTTAAGTAGCAAACACTCGGCAAGCCTAGTGTTTGCTAACTTTATTATTTTTCCCCTTAGGTTCAGATCCACCTATCTCACATTCAAGCCAAGGGATTGACATATTAAATTCATCTAATGAAACGTGTAACGACATTCAATATAAACATTAAACTCACAATCGAGTAATAACCGATCGCTA